CCCGCCGCGCCGCAGGACCCAGGGCATCATGTACGACCGCCAGGAGATGTTCGACACGGCGACGACGGTGCCCGGCCCCGAGACGGACCTCTTCGGCGCCGCGTGCAAGAAGGCGGGCGTCTGGGGCGTCTTCTCCATCACGGGCGAGCGGCACGAGGACCACCCGAAGAAGAACCCCTACAACACGCTCGTGCTCATCGACGACCGGGGCGCGGTCGTCCAGTCCTACCGCAAGATCCTGCCCTGGTGCCCCATCGAGGGCTGGTACCCCGGCGAGGAGACCTTCGTGAGCGTCGGCCCCAAGGGCCTCAAGATCTCGCTCATCATCTGCGACGACGGCAACTACCCGGAGATCTGGCGCGACTGCACGATGCAGGGCGCGGAGCTCGTCGTCCGCTGCCAGGGCTACATGTATCCGGCCAAGGACCAGCAGGTCATCGTCGCCAAGGCCATGGCCTTCATGAACAACTGCTACGTCGCCGTCGCGAACGCGTCGGGCAACGACGGCGTCTACACCTACTTCGGCCACAGCGCCATCGTGGGCAACGACGGCCGCACGCTCGGCGAGTGCGGCGAGGAGCCCAACGGCATGCAATACGCCCAGCTTTCGGTCTCGGCGATCCGCGACTCGCGCAAGCACGACCAGTCGCAGAACCACATCTTCAAGCTCATGCACCGCGGCTACACGGGCGTCCACCAGTCGGGGGACGGCGACAAGGGCGTCGCGGCCTGCCCCTTCAAGTTCTACAACACCTGGGTCACGGACCCGGCCGCGGCCCAGAAGATGGCCGAGGCCGTGACGCGCGACACCATCGGCGTCGCGGCCTGCCCCGTGCCCGGCGTCCCGGCGCCGCCCAAGTGAGCGCCGGCGAGCATGTACAGACGGAGCTACGCATCGAAATATAAAAAAGGAGAGCTGCCAGAGGAGATTACGCGTGTGCTGATCCAGTGAAGAGTAGACCCGAGGGGCTGCAAGTTGGCGGGCGCCGCGGGCCACTGCGCGGCGACGTGCGCCGGCCACTAGACGTGCGCCTTCGGCGAGGCGCCCCCCAGCGCGGCGCCTCCGCGTTCCCGCCCGCGCCTCGGGACCCCACTCGGGGGCCCTACGCGCGCGAAGAAAAGAAGCTAAGAATAGGCCCGGAGCGGACACCACGCGAGTCCGGACTTAGAAGAGCCCCGCCTTCTGCTTCGCGGCCTTTTGCCTCCACGCCGGGAGCGTCGCAAAGTCGGCGCGCGCCATGCCGAACGTCGACTCGAACGCCGCCGCGTCGAGGCCGTCGAAGCGCGCCTTGGCGTCGACCGGCGCGCCCGGTGGAGCGCCCGCGGGAGCGCCGTCGTAGTTGCCCGTCGCGGCGACGGACGCGGCCGCGGCGTCGCGGCCGACGGCGACGCCGCCCGCGAGCGCGAGGTCCGCGAAGCCGTCGAGGGCCCGGTCCTCGGCGTCGGCCGGGACCGGCTTCGGCGGCGCGGCCTCCGGCGGCGGCGCGGCCTCGGGCGGCGGCGCGGGCTTCGGCGGTGGCCGTGGCGGCGGCGCGCCGCTCCGGGGCGGCGGCGCGCCGCTCCGGGGCGGCGGCGCGCCGCAGCGTCCGCCGGACGGCGGCGGCGGGCCGCAGCGCCCTCCGGGCGGCGGCGGGCCGCAGCGCCCTCCGGGCGGCGGCGGGCCGCAGCGTCCGCCGGGCGGCGGCGGGCCGCAGCGTCCGCCGGGCGGCGGCGGGCCGCCGCGGCTCGGCGCCGGCTCCGCGGCCGCGGGCAGGCCGAGTCGGCGCCGCGCATCCGCGCGCTGCTCCGCGTAGCCGAGCGCAGCGAGCGCGTCCTCCGCGCGCGCCGGGTCGACGACGCGCGAGCAGAGCAGGACGACGGCCTCCACGGCGGCCGTGGGCGACAGCGCCATGGGCCGGATGAGCCTCGCGACCTGGGCGCAGTCGAAGGCATAATTTCGCACGGCCGTCTTGAGATAGCGCAATCGCTCGAGGTCCGACTGGGCGTTGGTCACGCGCTGCAGGAGCGAGTCGAATTCGGAAGCGTCGACGAGGTCCGCCGCGTCGGCCGCGGCCAGCATCGATGCCATCGGGTAGATCGGGCTGCCCGGTGGTTCAACGAACCAGGCAAATCAGCATCGTGCCTTCACCGCCCGAAGCAAAAGGGCGATTTTATGGGCGTGTCGAGCACGTCTTGCAGCCATAACCGAGCGCGTCTTGCAGCCATAACTGAGCCCCTGCATCCGTGACATGGGCCTCTTCGAGTCCAAGCCCGCGCCGAGCGCAAGCGGCGCTCAGGACGACCGAAACGACGTCGACGACGGCGGCGCTCAAGACGACCGAAACGACGTCGCCGACGGCGGCGCTCAAGACGGCTTCGGCGCAAGCGGCGCTCAGGACGACCGAAACGACGTCGCCGACGGCGGCGCTCAAGACGGCTTCGGCTGCGACCTCGCCGGCAAGCGCTTCGCGAGCGCGCACCAGGCCGCGTGCTACCGCCGGTCCGCCGCCGCGGCCGCGACGCGCCGCGAGCGGCGCGCGGCCGGCGGCGGCCCGGCGCCGCGCGCCGCGGCCGCGGCCGCGCCGGCCGCCGGCGCGTTCCACGCCTCCGCGGGCCCCGCGACGTTCGTCCTCGTCATGGACCCCGCGCTCGCGGAGAAGTTCCGCCGCTTCGCCGTCGACCCGGCGCGGCGCTACCTGCCCGGCCTCGACGTCGACGGCGCGTTCACGGACGCGGCCGCGCGGGGCAACGCGTTGACCGCCGTCGCGCTCGCCGGCGCGGCGCCCGGCGCCGCGAAGCGCGCGCTCGACGCGTCGCCGGGCGACTTCCTCGCGACGCGGCTCGTGCAGCGCGTGCTCTGCGCCACGGACCGCGTCTGGGGCGCCGACGCGGGCGACGACGGCGCCGTCGCGGCCGCGGCCGCCGCCGCGCTCGCGCGCTACGGCGGCGCCAAGGCGACGGTGGCGGTGCGCGCGCAGCCCCGGCGCTTCGAGAAGCTCGTCGTCGCGGCGCTGCCGCCGGGCACGGCCCTGGACACGCAGGCCTACGACGCCGCGGTCCACGTCTTCGTCTCCCCGGCCCTCGGCGCGTGGGTCGGCGTCGTCGCGCGAGAAGACGAGTGGTTCCCGAGCCAGGTCGTCGACGCCGACTGCGGCGTCGCGGCGGAGAAGATGCGCGCCGCGCACAAGCTCCGCGAGGTGCTCGCCTTCGGCCTCGACGGCGGCGCGCTCGCCGCGCTGGCCGCCGACCCCGGCGGCTGCGTCGTCGACGTCGGCGCCGCGCCCGGCGGCTGGACGTCGACGCTCGCCGCCGCGGGCGTCGCCGTCCTCGCCGTGGACCCGGCGGCGCTCAACGCCGGCGTCGCGGCCCTGGCGAACGTGACCCACGCGAGGAAGAAGGTCGAGGACCTCACGGACGCGGACTACCCCGCGGGGGCGGTCCCGAAGGGCCTCGTCTGCGACGTCAACGCGCACCCCGCCCAGCTCGTCGAGACCATCGCGCCCCTCGTGCGGTCGCTGCCGCGCGGCGCGCCCGTCGTGCTGACGCTGAAGTTCGGCGGCAAGGGCCACGAGGCGGCGTCGGAGGCGCGCAAGCTGACGCACGCGGCCGAGGTCCTCGCGGACCTCGGCGACGTCGCGCCCTTTTCACCCGACTTCCGGCTCGAGTGGCTCGTGTCGAACACGAAGCGCGAGCGCACGCTCATCGCGTTCCGCGCCTAGGGCCCCGCCCGTCGACCGTCGTTAGCTCGTCGTCCCGATGCCCCCGGGCTTGGCGAGGGCCGCCTGGCTCAGGCCCGCGCCCTTGGGCATCTTCTGCTTCCGCGCGTCGAGGAGCTCCTTCTGCTGGTAGTAGTGGGGCGCGATCTCGACGAGCCAGTCGGGCTCGATGGGGATGACGTTGCGCATGTACTCCTTGGACGTGAAGGCGAGCTCGTGGTAGACGACCCACTTGGGCAGCACCTCCTCGTTCGCCATGACGGAGCTCGGGTGCACGAAGACGGTCTTCATCTGCTTGACGGTCTTGTAGTCGCCGGACGTCGCGAGCTTCGCCGCGTTGTAGAAGTAGCCGCCCGTGACGGCCTTCTGGACGTGCTCGACGTCGGACGACTCGGAGAGCTCGAGCTCGACGCGCTCGCAGAGCCCCGCGAACTGGTCCCGGACGTCGCGCGCCTTGACCATGGACCGCGCCTGGATGTAGTTCTCGTAGCACCACTGCGTCGAGCAGTCGCTGTCCGTCCACTCCTTGTAGACGCGGAGCAGGGCCACGTGGTCGCCGCCGCCGCCGCGCGCGAAGTTCATGCGCGCGTTGTCCGCGTGGACCTGCGCGGGACGCGGGCGGCGCGACGTCGCTCCGACGCGAGCGTTCCGCGCGCGCGCGTTCCGGGAAACCAGCGGCCGCGCGTCGAGGCCGTTCCGAGCGACGAGCGCTCGTCCAAACATCGGCCGAAACGAGTCGACGACGGCCGAGAGCGGCGCCTTGGAAGGGCGCGTCGCGCGCGTGTCCCGCGCCGGCGCGGACCGCGCGGTCCTTGGGCCGATAATAGACGGCGTTGCCCGCGGAGAGCATGGCCCCGACGGAGATGGCCTCGGCGACGCAGCCGTACTTGTCGGCGATGATGATGGACTTGGCCATCTGGGGGTCGCAGGGGAACTCGGCCATGCGCCTGTGCCGAAATCAACCGCCGTCTCGGGGGTCCCGACCAAACTTCAAACCTCTCGAGCTCGGTCACATCGAAGTCGATTCGGCTGACTTTTGGACGAATCGATCGCTCTCGTCGAGTTCTCGAAGCACAGCAGAACGCCTCACGTCGAAACGGTCGCATACGATCACATTGAAGTCGGATTGAAGATTCGAGTTCGGCCCGGCGACGCGCCGGCCGAGCTTCGTGAGCTCGCCGCGGTCGTTGAGCGCGCCGAGCGCGTAGAGCTGCTCGAGCGCGCGGATGAGCATCTCCGCCGGCGGCGGGTCCATGAAGTCGAAGTGGAGGAGGTCGTGGATGCCCAGCGACTTGAGCATGAGCACGACGGAGTTCATGTTCGTCCGCTGGATCTCGGGCACCTGGGCAGGAAAAGAGAGATGCAACGTCGCTTCAACGTGAGTGTTCCGCGCGCGTGCGTTCCGGAAAAAGCATCCACGCTTCGAGACCGTTCCGAGAGATGATCGCTCGTCCAAAAATCAGCCGAAACGAGTCGAAAACGGCCGAGATAGGAGCCTTTGAAGTTGGGAATTTCGCACCCTTTTCCTGCCCTGTCGGGCACCGTGTTCTCCTCGAGCTCGTGCGCGTAGGCCCAGGACGTGTAGAGCCGGAAGCACGTGCCCGGCTGCGTGCGCCCCGCGCGGCCCGCGCGCTGGGCCGCCTGGGCCTGGGAGATGGGCGTCACGATGAGCGACTCGATGCCGCTCCGCGGGTTGTACGTCTTCTGCTTGCAGAAGCCCGTGTCGATGACGAAGCAGATGCCTTCGATGGTCAGCGACGTCTCCGCGATGTTCGTGCCGATGACGACCTTGCGCGCGTCGGGCGGCGTCGGCTCGAAGATCTTGGCCTGCTGCTCCGAGGGCAGCGACGCGTAGATGGGGCAGATGAGCAGCTCCTTGATGCGCGCGCCGAGGCCCTTCGTGCGCTCCGTGAGCGTCTCCACGGCGGCCTCGATCTCCTCCTGGCCCGTGAAGAACACGAGGATGTCCCCCGGGAAGGGCTGCGTGATGTGGGTCTGGAGCACGGTCACGACGGCCGCGTCCAAGTAGTCGGCCTCGGGCGCCTTCGTGTACAGGATCTCGACGTCGAAGGTCCGGCCGGGGATGTTGAAGATCGCCGCGTCGTCGAAGTACGTCGAGAACGCCTCGGCGTTCATCGTCGCCGACGAGATGATGATCTTGATGTCCTCGCGGAACCGCGCGATGTCCTTGATCAAACCGAAGAGCACGTCCGTGTGGAGCGTGCGCTCGTGGGCCTCGTCGATCATCATCACCGAGTAGGACGCGAGGTCCGGCTCGCCGAGGAACTCGCGCAGGAGCATGCCGTCGGTCATGTATTTCAGCAGCGTGTCCTTGGACGTGCAGTCCTCGAAGCGGATCGAGTAGCCGACCTCGCGGCCGAGGACGACGTCCATCTCCTTGGACACGCGCGCGGCGACGGACATGGCCGCGACGCGCCGCGGCTGCGTGCAGCCGATGAGGCCGACCTTGGAGTAGCCGACCTCGTGGAGGAACTGGGGCAGCTGCGTCGTCTTGCCCGAGCCCGTCTCGCCGATGACGACGAGGACCTGGTTGTCCTTGACGGCCTCGAGGAACTCCGTGCGGTAGGCGTAGACGGGCAGCGTCCGGCGCTTCTCCAGGAGCTCGTCGTGGGCGCTGCGGTGCGCGAGCTTCTTCGCGTCGCGGCCCCGGGGCACCAAATCGCCGAGCGCGTCCTCCGCGCCGGGCACGTCGCCCTTCTTGCCCTGCTTGATGTTGTCGATGCCCTTGAGGAGCATCTTCGACGCGACGAAGTCGACGTGGTCGTCGAACACATAATCCGCGTCGTCGACGTCGTAGCGCGACTTCTTGCGGCTCTTCGAGGAGCCGGCGCGCCTTTGCTGCTCCGCGTCCCACAGTTCCTGCTCCGTGAGCGGCTCGGCCTCCTCCTCGTAGCGCGCGTTCAGCGTCTTCTCGCGCGCCTCGGCCAAGGTCATGTCGCCGCGGCGCGCGTCCTCGTAGGCGTCGGGCACGTGGTAGCCGTCGTCCTTGGCCTCGAAGCGCGCTCGGTCGCGCGCCATCGCGAGAATCTTCTTCGAGAGCTCGTGCTGGTGCTTCTCCTCGGCCGTGACGGCCTCGTCGCCGAAGAGCTGCTCCTCCTGGTCCACCTCGGCCTGCAGCAGGTCGAGCTGCTTCGCCTCCCACTTGTCGAGGTACGCCTGGCGCGCGTATTTCCGCATGAGTCGCACGTCGTCCTCGTCCGCGAGCGGGTCGACGTCGCCGCGCGTCGCGAGCTCGGCGACCTGGTCCGCGCTCAGGCCCTCGTCGCCGGCGAGGCGCCGCGTGCGCGCCTCGTCGCGCTCGCGCATGCGCAGCACGAGCTCGTCGCGCTCCGCGACGTCGTCGTCGAGCTCCGCGTCGCGCTTGTCCGCGGCGGCCCGGCCGTCGTCCTTCTGGCCCTTGGCGAGGCGCCGCTGGAGCTGGCGGTCCTTGGCCGCGGCCACGAGGTCCGCCTCGCCGCCGTCGCCGCCGCCGTCGTCGAGGCCCCGCTTCCGCGCGTTGCGGCCGCCGCCGGCGACGGCGCCCGCGGCCGCGCGCCGCGGCGCCGCGGCCGCGTCGTCCTTGGGCGCCGCGCGCGCGCTCGGCCCGGACCGGAGCGCCGCGCCGCGCCGCCAGAGCTCGTGCGCGAAGTCGGGGTCGCGCACGTCGCAGTCCGCGAGCAGGCCCCGCAGCTGCGGCTCCGACGACGCCGTCGCCGCGAGGCTCGCGACGTAGGTCGCCGTCGATTTGTTGCTGAATCCGACGAGCCGGTGCAGGCTCTCGCCGACCCAGGCCGCGAGCGCGTCCTCCATGGCGCAGTCGAAGCTCGCGGTGCGGCACGTCAACATCATCTCCTTGCACCTCATTTCCGACCGCGCGATCGAGGCCTGGAGGCTCGGCGCCGACGCGCTCTGGATCGCCGGGATCGAGCTCGAGCGCGCGGGAGCGCTCGGGATCGCGTAAGGTCGCTCGTCGCGATGATCGACTCGCGCGCCCGCGTCGAGCTGGTAGTCGTGAATGCTGTCCACGAACTTTGCCGCGGGTTCTGCTAGTAAATGTGTAGAATCGATGAGCGCCCCGTACGTCGTCTGAAACGTATCCTTGCCGCTCACCTTGCACTTGCAGGGGACGGCGCACCCGCTCACGATGGTAGAGGGGAACCACCGAAGAACAAATTGGTCCGCGACTATAAAAAAGACCACCACGGTGTATTCGACGCCCTCGATCTTCAAGGTCGTCGACAAGTACCGCGTCAAATTTCTACCTCGCCTGGCTGCTGCTCAACGCTGGTGCTCGAATCGACGCCGCGATGCGCCGCGCGCCGCCGCTCGCCGGCGACGTGGGGTCGTCGTGGCGATTGGCAGCGCCGCACACGCGACCGCGAGCCGAAAGCTCCGGCTCATCGTCGTCGTAGGCGGCCCACGAGCTCGGAGCCGGCCGCGCGCGGGCGCGGGGAACGACTAGTTCACCTTCGCTGGAAAAATCCACCTCATCGATCGTGCTCAGACTTCACAAGTTGGAAGACGCCACCGTCACGTCGCGTGGCAGCCTGCACGTGCATCGAAGCAACTCATTTGCACCGGCAATGTCGTGCCTCGTCGGTACGGAGTCGCCGACGTGCGTCGCCACGGAAGCGACGCCCGCGCCGCAGCGAGCGGACGCGAGCCCGAAGCGGCGGAAGCGCCTTTCCGTCGCCACGACGCCGCCGCGGAAACCGTGCCAGGGCAACGCCGCGCCGCAGCAAGTCGCGGCGAAGATCGCCTACACCGCGGCGCCCGGCGCCGGCGAGCGCGCGGGCATCGTCGTGTCGTCCGCGCCCAAGGGCGGCGCGAAGGCCTTCCCGCTGGACCCGAAGACGTTCCGCGCGCAGCACGGCAGCGTGCCCCTGCCGCCGCACGTGTCCGAGGACGACGCCTGGCGCAACGTCCTCGCGCCCGTCGACACGCTCGTCACGGACGCGCGGGGCCTGGGCTTCTCGCTCGACGGCGCCGGGTTCCAACTCGTCGACGATCCCGCGGGCGCGCCCGAGGCCGCGGGCGGCGGCGACGCCTACTACCGGCTCGTCGAGGCCGCGGCCTTGCGTGCGACGGGCGCGAGCCGCGCCACGGCCTACTGCCACGCGCGGCGGAGCCCGCGGCCCGGCGGCGCCAAGAGCGCGTCGGCCGCGGGCTACGCGGGCTACGTCCACAGCGACCAGTCGGACACGTCCTGGAGCGCGGACCTCGGGCGCCTCGACCACCTGCCGCCGGGCGTGCCCGAGGACGCCGCGCGCGCGGCCGCGGCGGGCCGCCGGTACGCGGTGCTGTCGGCGTGGCGGTACGTCGGCCCCGCGGAGACGTGCCGCTCGTCGCACCTCGCCGTCCTCGACCACGCGTCGGTGACGGATCCCGCCGACGTGCTCCCCTTCTCCATCGTCGCCGACGGCACCTTCGGCGGCAACTACCGGCTCCGCGCGGACGCGGCCGCCGCGAAGCGCCACCGGTTCTACTACTACCCGGCGATGACGCGCGACGAGCTGCTCTTGTTCGTCGTCTGCGACTCGGCCCACCCGGCGCGGGCGACGACCTTCAAGCACACGCCGTCCGTCTCCGTGCTCCACACGGCCTTCGCGGACCCGACCGCGCCCGAGGGCGAGCCGCTCCGCGAGTCCATCGACGTGCGCGTGCTGCTGTCGTGGGACTAATGGGGCGGGGGGGCTCCTCTCTTTACAAATTCGAGTCTGGCTGCGCGTGTGCATCTCATTGTAGACGTGGGCGGCGCCGTGGGCGGCGACGGCGTACGCATCGGCGGCCCAGGCGATCGGTCCTGACCCCGGCCAAGCCTTTGTGGCTCGCTCGGGACCGGAGGCGTCGCCTGCAGCTATCGGCGAGGACTTTACTATGGGGTGCGCCGAGCTCCTTACCGACCCGCTTCCGACGACGGCGCGCGGTTTGACGGTGGACGGACGACGCCAGACGACGGGCTGCGACGCTGCGAGCTGCGGGCTTCGCGACTCGGCGATACGCCGCGGCGCTCTCCCTACGCCGCGCTGAGTTGCCGACGTCGCCGCTGGCGCCGCCGCCGCCGCCGCCGCCGCCGGAGGACCCCCGCGCCCCCCCGCCCCCGTCGCGCGCCGGAGCGCGCGCGCGCGCGCGCTCACCCGCGCCCTCCCCCCGCAGCTTCTCCCGCTTCGTCGAGGTCGGGCGCGTCGTGCTCATCAACTACGGCCCCGACGAGGGCAAGCTCGCGACGATCATCGACATCGTCGACGGCAACAAGTGCCTCGTCGACGGCCCGGCGACGAAGACGGGCGTCGCCCGCCAGGTCATCCCCTTCAAGCGCGTCGCGCTCACGGACATCGTCGTCAAGATCCCCAAGAACGCGCGGCAAAAGACGCTGAACAAGGCCTGGGACGAGGCCGACGTCCTCGCCAAGTGGGACGCGTCCTCCTGGGCGAAGAAGCTCGCGGCCAAGAAGAAGCGCGCGTCCCTCACGGACTTCCAGCGCTTCCAGCTCATGGTCGCGCGGAAGCAGCGGTCCGCGATCGTCGCCGCCAAGGTCAAGGAGATGTCCTAGGCGCGGACGCCGCCGCCCCCGCTTCGGGTAATACCGAGGACCCTTCTCGCGCGGGGACGCTTAGGGAGGACGTCGCGGACGCTCTCCTCGAAAAGGCGGCGACGGTCGTCGAGACCCATTTAGGTCGCGAGCGACGCGGCGACGGCGGGCTTCCCTTCGGCGGCCCGCGCCGCGAGGTAGGCCGCGAAGGACCCGGGCACGGGCGGCGGCTCCTCCCGGCGCCGGAGCGGCGACGACGCGCGCGGCTCCGGCGGCGGCGGCGGCGGCGGCGCCTCGGCGCCGACGTCCTCCTCCTCCGCGCGCTCCTCGTCGTCGTCCCGGGGCTCCTTCGGGGCCCGGGGCCGGCGGAGGCGCGACAGCGTGACCCAGCCGTCCAGCGGCCAGACGACGCGGACGCGGACCTTGGAGAAGACGCGGCCCTTGTTCGCCTTGAACGTCGCCTGCGGGTCCCAGCCGCCGAGCGACGTCACGCGCTCGCCGGGGTTGCGCGCGCGCGTGCTCGACGCCTCGTCGACGCTCACGGGGTCGCCGGCCTTGAGCTCGCCGACGACGGGGCTCCGCAGGTCCGCGCGCTGGCGCGCGATCGCGTCGACGCGCGCGGTCCAGCCGCCCCGCACGGCAGCGAGGTGGCTCCGCGGGTCGCAGTCCGTCGCGAGCCCCAGGGCCGTGCGCCAGCCGTAGAAGCCCCCCGCGAGGACCCGCGGCGCGAGGCCGCCGGGCCCCAGCACGCGCGCGTTGCGCACGAGTTCGGCGACGAGCGCGTCCTCGCCGACCTTGCGCGTCGTCCGCGCGCCCGTCTGCGACACGACGACGACGCGCGCGCCCCGCGCCGCGGCGTCGAAGACGCCCTCGAGCGCGTAGCGCGCGCGCCGCGCCGCGACGGTCGCCTCGAGGTCCGGCGCCCACCAGCGCGTCGTGTCCGTCGCGCGCTCGCGCCGAAAGTGGGGCCGCCGCCGGTCGCCGTCCCAGCTCAGCACGAGCTCGCCGTCCCGGTCGAGGCACTGGTCGAAGGACAGCACGCAGACGTGCGCGCGCACGCGGACGTCGCCGAAGTCCTCGACGCACGCCTGTGTGGGATTCAACCACTGGTTTGGGTGGTCCTGACCAAACTTGAGAATTCTCGAGCTCGGTCACATCGAAGTCGATTCGGCTGATTTTTGGACGAATCGATTGCCCTCGTCGAGTTCTCGACGCACGGCCGAAGAGGTTGCGTCGAAACTGTCGCATAGGCGCACATTGAAGTCGGGTTGAAGATGTGAATTCCACACGGACGCGCGCCTGGCCCGTCGCCTGCCGCTCCGCGTGCGTCCGAGCGTCGACGACGCACACGTCGATCTGCCGCTCGGCCGCGAGCTCGGGCACCTCGGGGAAGGCCGCGTCGAGGGAGGCCTCGCCCGCGAGGAGCGCCTGGAAGTCCGCGAGCGAGAGGGCTCGCACCTCGTCCCTCGGGCCGAAATAGGCCGCGTCCTCCGGCGTCTCCTCGCCCTCGGGCGTCGGCAAAAAATACGACTTGGCGTAGCCCGCGTCCTCGACGGGCGTCAGGGCCGCGAAGGCCTCGGCGACGAGCTGGAAGTCCTTGGCGGAGCCGCCCTCCTTGTCGGGGTGCGTGCGCAGCGCGAGCTTGCGGTAGCGCTTCTGGATCTCGGGCCACGTCGCCTCGTCCCGGAGCCCGAGGATGAGCCGCGCCTTCCACTTCTCCATGGCGTACTTGTCCACCGACGGGTCCGCCATCTTGTCTTCTCAAGGCGACGCGGCGAGAGACCTCCCCTACTACGCGCCAGCCATACGAAGGGCTGCTTGGTCAGCTTTGACTCTCGCGGCCGACGGTGCCCCCTCAGGGATGTTGACCCTCAGACCTTCGGCAGAGCGAGATGGTGCCAGCATCTCGTCTCATGCTCGTGTCCGCATGCCTGGCGTCGCCGCCGCTGCCGCAGTCCCAGCAATTGCGGTCGCTCGCGCTCCGCAAGCACCGCGCCGGCGCGCTGGCCGTCGCCGGCGACGAGATGGACGACTACAGCGTGCTCGTGGGCATCGACGGCGTCGACTACCACCTGAACGTCGACACGGGCAGCGCGCTCGTCGGCGTCGCGGGCAACGCGTCCATCGGCTGCGACCGCCACTACGCCATGGGCGACCGCTGCGGCGCGGACATCTCCGTGAGCTACGGCAGCGGCTTCTGGACGGGCCGGGTCTGCGAGGGCACGGTGTCGCTGGGCCCCTTCGCCGTCGACGACTACAAGTTCGGCGCCTACGAGCGGCAGCGCGCGATGACGACGTGCGCCGACACGCCCGTCGACGACCCGACGGCGCCGGGCCGCATGACGCGGCCGGACCTGGCCATGGAGGGCATCCTCGGCCTGAGCTTCCAGCAGAAGGTCAACGCGGGCAGCCCGCCGCTCCTCGAGGCGCTCTTCGCCGCGCACGGCGACGCGGCGCGCGTCTTCGGGCTCCAGTGCTGCGGCTACGACGCCGCGCGGCGCCGCGGCGGCGGCGGGAGCCTCGACGTCGGCGTCCTCGACGAGTCGAAGCACTACGGCGAGCTGCGGTGGGTGCCCGTGACGCCGTCGAGCTACTGGTCCGTGTGGATGACCTCCGCGCGCGTCGGCGGAAGCGAGACGCTGCCGCCGGACGTCGCCGCCGTCGCCGCGTACGGCGACGGCACGCCCCAGACCATCGTCGACAGCGGCACGTCCGGCGCCGCGTGGAACCCGAATCTTCGACCCGACTTCAACGCGAGCGTTAGAGAGGTGTGAAGTCGGGCTGGAACGCACCCAGCTCACCGTTTGATTGCGGCGCAGGTCTGGCGTGCTGCTGCCCGCGCGGGCCTTCGACGCGGCGACGGCGTCCCTGGCGGCGGCCGCGCCGGCGCTGCCCGCGGCCTTCTGGGCCGGCGCGGCCTGCGTGCCCGAGTCGGCCTTCGACCCGTCGGCGCTGCCGCCGCTCACGCTCACGCTCGCGGGCGCGGGCCCCGGCGACGCGCTCGACCTCGTCGTGCCCTGGCGCCGGCTCGTCGTGCTCGTGCCGGCGTCGCAGTACTGCCTCGAGTCGCCGCCCCGCGGCGGCGAGGACCGCTGGGCCTACGCGCTGGGCGCCGTCGACGAGGGGAGGAACGCGATCCTGGGCCAGGCGCTCTTCGAGGAGTACTACGTCGCCCACGCCTACGACGGGCCGTGGATCGGCTTCGCGCCCATCCGGGGCTGCGGCCCGACGGCCGTCTTCGAGGCCCTCGAGGACCACGCGGCGCCCCTGGCCCTCGCGGTCGTCGCGTTCGTCCTCTTCTTCGCCGCCGCGCTGGCGATCCAGGGCTACCTGCCGGCGCTCCGAAACCTCCTCGGCCGCTGCGCGGCGCGGCGGCCGGACGCGGAGGACGCCTACTCGCCGCTCACGTCGCGCGGCCACCGGGCCAGCGAGCGGACGCCGCCGAAAGCGCCCCGTGGCTCGCCCGCGGACCTCGCGGGCGCCGACGCCTACGGCGCCTAAAGACGCTAGTCCCCGTCGGCCTCGCGGGCGCCGACGCCTACGGCGCCTAAAGACGCTTTAGTCCCCGTCGGCCGCGCGCAGGTCGTCCTCGAGCTGGTCGAGGTCGCCGAGGACCGCCGTCGCGTCGCGCGCGGCGTCGAGTAAAGCGCGGCGGAGCTTCCGGAGCTTCGCCGGGTCCGGCGCCGGGCCGCCGCCCGCCTCGAAGGCCGCGAGCTCGGCCTCGACGGCCTCCCGGCACCGGTCGACGCCGTCGGCGACGCCGTCGGCGCAGGCCTCGAGGTCCGGCCGCGGCTCGTCGCCGCCGTTGGGCAGCCTGAGCGGCGCGAGCTTGGGCTTTGCGGCGTCGTCGCCGACTTTGACCCCACCTCCGACGCCATCTTCCGCGTCGTCGCCGCGTCGACGCGAAAACCCGTGCGGTACGCGCGGCTCGGCGACGCCTCCGGCGACGGGTCCCGGGGCGGCTTCCGGCCCGCGACGGGCGACGGCGGCACGTCCGTCTTGATCGCCGGGTCGAGGTAGCCGTGGACGGCGCTCAGGTCGCCGCGGCGGTACTTGGCGACCAAATTCCGGATGATCTCCTTCCGGTACCAGAGCGTGTCGTGGAAGAACTCCCAGAAGACGTAGCGGAGCATGTGCTTGCGCAGGACGTCGCAGGACGCCATGAAGACCTTCTGCGTGAACTTCTCCGAGTTCATGGCGTAGAGCTGGACTTTCGTGACGGCGCGGACGATGAAGCGGCGCGAGAACCGGCGGTCCGTGACGAGGCAGCTCATCATGTCGTCGCCCAAACACGCATAAGTGGAATCCTCGACGAGCGTCGACTTGGGCCAGCACATGGGCAGGCCCTTGAAGGTCTTGAGGCAGTTGCCCCGGATCAATAGGAACATCGTCGTGTTCTCCGTGCCTTCCTGGATGATGAGCTCGTGCGCGATGTAGACCGCGGGCGACAGGATCAAAGCGAGCTCCGCCACCAAACCCCGGTAGGCGTTCATGGAGCTGTGCCAGGCGTAGCCCTGGGGCGTGAACCTCGGTATGGTCACGCGGTCGAACGCGACGCCCATCCTAAAGTCCTGCGACGCGCAGTGCTCGCCGACGCGCGGCATCTCCTCCTGGAAGCAGAGGTCCACGAGGGCGCGGTGCTTGTGCACGCGCACGACCCAGGCGCCCCGGTACTTGCCCTTGGTCTCCTTCTCGTGGTCGTCGTCGGACCGCTCGACGGCGACGAGCATGCCCGGGTGGATCTTCGACGCGCGGACGACCGCGTCCTGGACGACGCGCAGGCTCCGCACCCAGGGGCCGATGTTCTGGACGGCGATCTGCTCCCGGTACTGGGGCGTCAGATTCTCCAGCATCTCCTGGTAGCACCGCTCCCGGAAGACCTGCTCGCACTGCACAAAGTAGTTCCGGAGCTGCCGCTTCAGCGGCCGCGCCAGACCGCGCTCGTTCATGAAGATGCCCAGCAGGTCCATGGTCATCTTGTACTGGTTGTTCGCCGGGTCCAGGGACGTGAGCACGTTGGCGATCTCGCCGATCATGAACGCGATGACGACGCAGCCCACGAGGAGCACGACGATCGCCGCGAAGTGCTCGTGGACCGTGTAGACGGCGGCGGTGCCGTTGAGCGCCTGGACGGCCCAGACCATGGCCGCGAGGTACTCGGCCCACATGCCCTGGTCCCGGAGGCCGTGGCGCTCGAGCCACGTCTTGTAGCGCCCCCGCTTCGACTCGGACAGCGTGCGGATGAGGCAGGCCGTCCAGTGGGCGACGACGAGCATGAAGGACACGAATTTCAGCACGGCCTGCGTGTGGTAGCTCAGGAAGATGTAGTTCCAGTACGTGTCGGCGATGCGCTTGATCTTGAGCACGCGGACGATCTTGACGAGGCGCAGGATCTTCATCGCGCGGACGAGCTCCACGTGGCGGCCCTTGGGCGTCACCTCCGTGAAGGGGAAGATGGAGATGACGTCGATGTAGAACCAGATGGACTTGACGTAGTGGTAGGCGATGGACCGCCGGTCGATGACCCACCGCTGGTCCATCTGGTGGAAGAAGCCCGTGTTGAAGTTTAGCAGCAGGTCCACGAAGAACATGGCGTCGATGGACGTGTCGAGGTAAAAGTGGAGGCACTTGCGCTGGGGCGAGCACTCGGCGACGAAGGCGATGACGAAGGGCGTCACCAAGCCCGCGTACAACAAGATCAGCGCCATCCAGAGGTCCCAGTAGCACTTGCGGTAGCCGTTCGGGTTCACGACGCTCAGCCAGGCGCCGCCCTGGATGGGGAAGTCCGCCGCGTCCCAGGGGTCCACGCGCTTCACGCCGACGATCTCGCCGGCCGTCGAGATGATTGTGTCGAAGCGCGACCGCCGCGCCATGGAGCCCCCGCGGCGGCTCGGGTGCTTGGGGCCCTTGGACTCCATCTTCGTCGCGAACTTGCGGATGATGGACCGCTTCGACATCTTCTCCGCGGTCGCGGGCGCTAAAAACGCCGTCTGCTGGTTCCGGTGCAGGGGGTCGAAGACCTCCTTCGCGTACACAAAGTTCGCGTCGAGCACGGGCGGCAGCCGCCGCTCGATGACGACCGTGCCCCGGTTCGCCTTGAGCACGAGCTCGCCGTGCTCCGTCGTCAGGTCGTCCATGGCCGCCGGCTTCGCGGGGCTCGCCTCGCTCCGCGTGGGCGAGTACTCCATGCCCGTCTTGTTGTGGCGCGCCTTGTTGAGCGCGTGCTTCATGAGGTCGGAGCTGAGCTTCGTGCGCACGCTCCGCGGCGTCTGCGACGGCAGCGGCGACGCGTCGGCGCCGAGCTCCAATCGCGCCATCTCCTTGGACTCCTCGGGATCCTCGCCCTCGACCTCCTCGTCCTCGCCGATGTTCCCGAGCGGGGCCACGCGGTGCGCCATGGCGGCGAACCGACGCCGAGACCCCGGCCCGCCGGCGCTCCCGCCGGCCGAAGCGGCCCGACGCCCTGGGAATGTGGGCTGCCCACCCCCGTCGCAGCGTTGCCTCCCGCCTCCGCAAACATTTGGCAAATTCGGCATGAATTGATGCCGGCAACATCGGCTTCGGCCGCGTCGCGCGCGTTCGCCACGTCGTTCGCCAACTTGTTCGCCGAGTCGTTCGCCGATCCGCGGCCCCATGGCGGTGGACGTGTCTACGGGTCGACCCCCGCGCGTTACGCGGACGCGCAGAGCGCCGACTCCGCGGGCGGGCGGTCCGTGGACACGGCGAGCGCGTCGAACGCGGGCGGCTCGTCGAGGGCCGGCGGCCGCGGCGGCGCCGGCGCGGCGACGTCCGAAGCCTCGGGCCCGTCGGCGCAGCGCCGGTGGATGAAGAAGGCGCGGAGGACGCCCGCGTCCTCCTTCTGCGTGTCGTCGAGCGGCGGGAAGTCCTCGTCGAGGAGCTCGGGCCGCCGCGGGACGAGCGCGTCCGCGAGGCCGCACGCGTCGAGGATGGGCGCCGTGAGGAGCCGCGCCCAGTCGACGTCCAGCGCCTCCGTCGGCGCGTCCGTGCGCGTCGGCGCGGCGGCGTCGCCGAGCGCGGGGACCGCGAGCGCGAGTTTCGTCCGCGTCGGCTGCTTCGGCGTCGACGCGCGCAGGGCCGCGGCGACCTCGCGCGCCGGCGCGGCGACGAGCGCGACGACGTGGAGGAGCGCGCGCGCCGCCGCCTCGGGCGCGCGGCCGTCGCCCGCGAGCACGGCGTCGAGCGCGGCGGCCGGCGCCGCGCCGCGCAGGAGCGCGACGGCGCCGAGCGCCGTCGCGGCGGCGTGCGTCGCGTCGCGGACCCACTGGTCGCAGAGGACCCGGAGCGGCGCGAGCGAGCCGTAGAACGCCCCGAGGCTCGCGAGGGCCCCGGCGGCGACGGCCTCGAACGTCGCCGCGCCGACGCCGACGAAGGCGCCGCCGCCGCACCGCAGCTGGGACGCGAGCGCCGCGAGCCGCAGGCGCAGCGCGACGAGGCCGTGGCTCGTGCGTCTGCCGCTCATCCACTGCACGCGCGCCGTCGTCCAATCGCGCGCGCGCGCGTCCGCGAGGCAAAAGGCCTCGAGGTCGCGCAGCTGCGGCGCCGCGACGGCGCCCGCGGCGGCGGCGTCGAGCGCCTCGAGGCGCGGCCGCAGGCTCGCGGCGTCGGCGGCGCCGACGTCGACGTCGCGCATGGCCGCCACGAGCGCGCGCACGCCGTCGTCGCGCGCCGTCTCCGACATGGCCGGCGGCGTTTTTACGGTGTCGCTGGCGGCGGCGTCGTCCGCCGGCGCCTCGACGAGCGGGTCCTCCGCCGGCGCCTCGACGAGCGGCGCCGCGAGGACCTCGTCGACCGGCCGCTCGATGGCCATACTGGACCGGCGGGCTGCCCGCTTTTTAGGTTAACGCTGCCGTGCCGAGTACCCATTAAAAACCGGATCGTTGAATTTAGGGTAAAAGTCAGGGCTGCGCGCGCGATGTGCTCGCGCGCCCGCGGTCGCGCGCCCCGCGTAGGGGTCGAGGGCCGCCACCGCCGGCTTCATCATGATTTGGGGTGGGCAAAAAATGCCATCGGCTCGTCCAAACGACCGACATGGGCCTCAGACAGGCCGCTTCGGGCTGCCCATCGTCTCCCAACAGCTCGGCGGTCAAAGTCGTCTGAGCCAATCACAGAGCTGGATTGGACGACTTTTACCTTTACTCAACAAGGGCTTGCGATCAACGATCCGGTTTTTAATAAGTATCCGAGCGGGCAACGACGGGCTGCCTCTGCTGTTGTGTTGCCCGAGCGCCCCGCCGGCCGCCACGATGAGCGGCGCCCGGGCGCCGGACGCGAACGTCAATGCCTTCCTGAAGCGCGAGCACGAGCTCAACATGGCCAAGGCCTACTGCGACCAGACCGACTTCGTCTCCCGCAACGCGGAGTTCGCGGAGAAGGGCACGCTCAAGGTCATCGCGGCGACGCGCGCGCGCCAGGTCGAGGCCGCCGCGGCGGAGATGAGGAGTGCGCCGCGCCGCGTCCGACGACGTCGTACTTCCGCGTCTCACGCGCCCGCCCCCCGCAGGCCTCGACGCGGAGCTCGTCACGAGCCGGCGCGCGCGGCTCAAGAAGTTCTACGCGGAGCAGAACAAGGTCTACCAGGCCGAGCTCTCCGCCAAGGGCCTCTCCCTCGCGTTCTGAGGAGGCGGGCGCAGTGGCACTAAGGGCGCTCGTTGTCGACGTTGTCTAAGAGGTGCCACACACCCTGGGCGGGTAAACAACATGTCTTAGAGGCGCGCGCGCGCGTCGTCACCGCCATCTCCGGAAGCCGCCGCGACCCCGGAAGAAGAGCCAGGACCCGATGCCGACCTGCGAGGCGGGGGGCGGATCGAACGCGGCGCGCGCGCGAGAGGCCGCGAGGCGCGCGCGGATCTCCGGGCGTCAGAAGGAAGTCGGCAAAGACTGTGGATTCGTGGTGTCGTCAGCGAGCACTCGGACAACGTCAGGTGAAACAGATCATCAGAGCCCGGGAAAAGGGGGCGTCGCCGGACGCCGGAAACCGCACGAGCGTGCCGCCGACGTGCGCGCCGTGCGCGACGCCGTGCGCGCGGTCGCTGATGTAGGGGATGTGCACGTCCAGCAGGGGGCCCAGGTCCTTGGCGAGGAACGCGCCGCCGTACAAGATCGCCGGCATCGGGATCGGAAGGAACTCCGCGAAGATGACGATGAGGCGCCAGGGCGACAGGAGGATGCTGTGGGCGACGGCCGCGTTGACGGCGCCCGACGCGCCGAGGCACCGCGGCGACGGCCGCTTCCAGTAGGCGTGGCGCCTCGAGTCCTCCAGCGCGTTCGCGGCGAGTTGCGCGCAGTTGGCCGTGAGACCGGCGCCGAAGTAGACCGCGAGGAAGTGGCGCGCGCCGATGGCGCCGACGACCTCCGGGCCGAAGAAGAAGAGCGTGACCATGTTGCCCAGGAGGTGCCAGCCGTCGCTGTGGCTGAAGGCCGACGTGACGAGCGTGTGCGGCGCCGCGACCACGTCCTCGTTGCAGAGCGTGAAGTGCGCCGTCATGAGGCGCGGGTCGGCGACCTTCCAGCCGCCCCAGACGGCGACGTTGACGCCGATGAGGCCGCCGATGACGGGCAGGGCGTCGCCCTGGGGCATGGCGAGGAAGGTGCGCTTTGTGGGTGTTGTCGTCGGGAGTTTGGGCATGGCCGTGCGCGACAGCGCGGGGCGCGTCGCCGTGGCGCGCGAGAGGAGGGTCGTCTGGGCGCGCCGCGCGCCCGACGCCCCGCGGCGAACCGCGAGGGCGAGCATCTCGCTGGTGAGCGAGCTGCCACGGTCGGCGCCTGTGGCGAGCGACCTTGTGGCAACGAGCTCCACCGCCAGCGCCGTCGTCGTCGTCGCGGAGCCATGCGGCCCTGCCTCCTGCTCCTCGCGCCGCTCGTGTCGGCGAAATTCACGCCCGGTCCCGGCCTGAAGGAGAATCCCGACGGCACCTACTCGCGGACCTACGACGCGGCGGCCGAGGGCGCCGCCGCCGGCGCCGGCGGCGGAGGCGAGGGCGAGAGCAACCCGGTCTACAACGTGCTCTTCACGCTCGCGATCGTGCTCGCATGGTATCTGTACCAGAACGGCAAGCTGCCGTCGCTGCCGTCCATGCCGAGCCGCGCGCCGCGGGCGCCGCCGCCCGCGTCGCAGGACGAGGTCGACGAGGCCCGGCGCGCGCGGCTCGCGCGCTTCACGGGCGACGGGCCCGCGCGCAACGCCGAGGCCTTCCAGGAGGCGCTCGGCGCCGCGGACCCGACGCCCGTCGCGCGCGCCGCGCCGGGTTCGTCGCGGAAGCCGGCGGGCGTCGCGACGCTCGGCTCGACCGCGCGCGCGGACGGCGACGACCCCGACGAGTTCTTCGGCGGCGACAGCACGGCCCAGTACAAGTAACACGTCTCTTTATTACCGCGTCCGCGCCAGGAAGGCGACGTGGTCGAGCTTCGCGTCGACCGCGGGGACCCGGTCGTCGCCGACGAGGCGCCGCGCGGCGCGGTAGTCCGCGGCCGCGGCGGCGAAGTCGCCCGCGCGCTCGCGCGCCGCGCCGCGGCGGAGGTGGGCCGTCGCGTTCGCCGGGTCGATGTCCAGCGCGGCGCCGCACCGGTCCGCGACGGCCGCGGCGACCGCGCGGCTCGCGCCGTCGTCGGGCGCCCGGAGCAGGCACCTGGGCAGCAAAAGGGTGATTCAACGTCGCTTCAATGTGAGTGTTCCGCGCGCGCGCGTTCCGGAAAAAGCATCCACGCTTCGAGACCGTTCCAAGAGATGATCGCTCGTCCAAAAATCAGCCGAAACGAGTGGAAAATGGCCGAGATCGGAGCCTTTTGAAGTTGGGAATTTCGCTCTCTTTTGCTGCCCGGAGCAGGTACGCGGCCGCGTTGAGGTTGCAGGCGACGGCGAAGCGGGCGACGAGGGGCCCCTGGAGGCCGCCGACGCCGTGGAGCGCCGCGGCGAACTTGGCGTGCGCCGCGCGCCAGAGGCCCTCGCGCATGAGCGCGTCGCCGTCCGCCGCGGACCGCGCCGCGAACGTCAACGACGCCTTCACGGACCCGCCGGCGGAAACTCCGGGGTCGAGGCACAGCGCGTCCGTGGCGTGGGCCGCGCCGTCGCGGTACGCGGTCACCGCGTCGGCGTCGTTGCGCGCCTCGAGCGCCGCGAGCTCGTCGCCGACGTCGTCGCCGGCGTCCGACGCCTTCCGGAGGTGGAGCTCCGCGAGCAAGCGCGCGCCCTCGTCGCGCTCGCCGCCGCACATGCGCAGGAAGGCCTCGCCGCGCATCTCCCAGGCGGCGCCCCACGTCCTGTCCGCGGCGGACGCGAGGAGCTCCGCGAGCGTCGCGGCCGCGGACGCGCGGTCGCCGGTCCGGAGCTCCTCTTCGCCCCTTCCGAGCAGGGCCTTCGCCGTCGCTGTTTTCGCAAAGGCCCGGTAGCGCGCCGTCTCGTCCGCCGACGGCGCCTCGGGCGATGGTTGCTGGTAGTTCGGCGGCACGAACGACCATTTCGGAGCGCCGGACGGCGCGCAGCTCCCGCAGCCGTCGTCGCCGCACCGGTCGTCGTCGTGGGAGTCCTCGTCCGCGCCGACCTCGGCCGCCAGCGCCGCGGCCGCGCCGACGGCGCCGCGCCAGGCCGCGAGCGACGGCGCCGACTCCGCGGCGGCCTGGGCGTCGGCGCAGGCCTGCATGAGCTTGACCCATTTGACGCTCTGCAGCGCCGTCGGCGCCGGCGACGCCTTGTTCTTGAGCGCCGCGAGGCGCGCCCGCGACGCCTTCGCGGCGGCGGCGGCGTGCGCCTTTTTCACGTCATTCTTGGACGACATCGGCGGCGGCGCAGTCGCCAGGCCTTGCGCCAGGCGGCGGCGCCGCGCGGCGTCCGGGCTGCCTATTGAAGCGAAGGTGAACTAGTGTTACCCTTTTTAGCCTTCGCCTGTGGCAGCCTCGCGTGCGCGCGCCAATACTCGCCTCGCGTGCGCGCCAACCGCGCTGCCACAGCGATGCCGCGCGTGCACTGGACCGGCTTCGGCAAGTTCCACGGCGTCGCCGACAACCCGTCGGCGACGCTGGCGGAGCGGGTCGCCGCCAAGTTCGCCGACGACAGCTGGGAGGTCGTCGAGGTCTCCGGCGAGGCCGCGCGGGACGCGGCGCTCAACGGGAGCGACGCCGACGTCGTCATCCACCTCGGCGTCGCCGTGGACTACGCGAACATCACGCTCGAGCGCTGCGCCTACAACGACGCGACGTTCCGCTGCGACGACGAGCGCGGCTGGCGGCCGGCGGGCGAGAAGATCTCGGCCGACTCGCCCTTCGGCGCGCCGTCGCCGACGCCCCTCGACGTCGAGGCCGCGGCCGCCAAGGCGAAGGACCTCGGGTTCTCCGTGGACGTCTCCGACGACGCGGGCCGCTTCGTCTGCAACTATTTGTACTACTGTTCGCTCGAGCGGCGCCCCTGCGTGTTCGTCCACGTGCCGTCCTTCGACAAACTCGGCCTCGAGGACCAGCTCGCGACGCTGGAGGTCCTGCGGAGCGGCCTGCTCGACGCGGCGGCGGCGGCCGCCGCGCCGCCGCCGCCGGCCGCGGCGGAGAGCACCGCGGACGAGGTCGTCGAGGACCTCGTGGCCATGGGCATCGACGCGGCCATGGCGCGCCAGGCCGCGGCCGCGGGCTGCACGTCCGTGGAGACGGCCATGGAGTTCATCTTCTCGGAGCCGCCGGCCATGCCGCCGCCGCCGCCGTCGGCGCAGCGGCTCAAGCAGGTCCTCGTCGTCCGCGCGGACCTGGGCATGAGCGCGGGCAAGATAGCGGCCCAGTGCGCGCACGCGAGCCTCGGCGGCTACCGCGAGGCGCTCCGGCGGACGCCGGACGTCGCGGACCGCTGGGTCGGCGCCGGCGAGACGGTCATCGTCGTCCAGCACGACGGGTGCCTGCGCAGCCTGCACGCCGCCGCCGTCGCCGCGAACCTCAACACGTCCCTCATCGCCGACGCGGGCCGCACGGAGGTCGCGCCGGGCACGGAGACGGTCCTCGGCGTCGGACCGGCGCCCGCGGACGACGTCGACGCGATCACGGGGCGGCTCAAGCTCCTGTCGTAAACGTTCATTACCACGGTCGCCGCGCGTAGCGCCGTCGCCTCCGCGTCGGCGGCGGCGGCCTGGCCTCGTCGAGCTCGCAGTCGATGTCGACGCCCGTGATTTCGGGCACGCGGCGCAGGAGCGCGCGGCGGACGCCGTAGGCGACGGCGTGGGCCTCGCCGATGGTCAGCGCGTCGGGCAGGACGACGTCGACCTTTGCGGCGATCGCGTCGCCTTCGTAACTCAGCACGACGTGGCTCACGGCCCGCACGCGGTCGCAGCCGAGGGCCACGGCGCGGATGCGTCTCTCGAGCTCGTCGGGCAGCGCGCCGAGATCGTCCGTCGCGCCGCTCTCCTGGCGGTCGCCGGGGTCGAAATGGACCGCGACGTCCGCGAGCCCCAGGCCCATGGCCCGCGCCTCGCGCCCCAGGGCGACCTTGGCGTGCTCGCCGATCTGGTGCGCCGCCGACGCCGACAGGCCTTTTTCCACGCCGAGGCGCAGGTCCACGAGGACGCCGGGGCCCGCCTTGCGCGCGCGGAGCGAGAAGTCGCAGCGCGGCACCGCGGCCGCGACGGCGCGCTCGAGCCGCGCGACCCGTTGGCCGTCCAGCGTCTCGTCGAGCAGTTCGCGCGCCGCGTCGCGCGCGATCTTCGCGCCCTGGTACGCGACGGCGCCGCCGACGAGGACGCCCGCGACCGGGTCGGCGATTGTAACGCCGAGGCCGTGGCCGCCCGCGATGCCGGCCAAAGCCGCGACGGAGCTCCAGGCGTCGCTCCGATGGTGGAACGCGTTCGCGACTAAGACGTCGGACCGCAGCGCCTCGCCGACGGCCCGCGTCCTGCGAAAGAGCCACTCCTTCGCGACGATAGAAACCGTAGCGACGGATCCGCACGTCGCGACCGCGTACAGCTCCAGGGCCTCGGCCGGCTCGAACGCGGACCCGGCGGCGTGGTGCGCCGCGCCCGCGCCCGCGGCGACGAGACAGCCGCCGACGACCGCGGAGCCGCCGGCCTCGAATTTGCCGTGGCCGAACGGGTGGTCGGCGTCCGGCGGCAGGCGCGCGGCCGCGTAGCTCCAGTAGGCGACGACGTCCGTGAGCACGTCGCTCAGGCTGTGGGCGCCGTCGGCGATGAGCGCCGGCGAGCCCAGCGTGCTGCCGGCGCCGACCTTGCAGCAGCCGAGGCCCACGTTGACGACGGCGCCGACGGCCGTGATGCCCTTGGCGTCGTCGAGGACCGACAGGCGGCGGTGGCGTGGAGTGATTCGTCTTTGCCGCGCGGCGATGCGCGCGGCGCGGCGCATTGTATCGAGCGCGCCTATGCGACGACAAACTGGCCAGCCATCGGAGGGCAGGTTTGCGCGTTTGGCTTGGCGGCCGCCGCGCCGCCGCCCGCAGTCGACGACTCCCTCAGAGGCCTCCTCGGCGAGGACGCGCACGCGTCGACGGCGCGACCGCCGACGCCGCGTAAGACGAAAAAACGCAAAAAAAAAAAAAAACGGCGACATCATACGTGTGCGTTATGTTCAACAAGGTGAGTATCTCTCGTGCGGCGTTCTCGACTCGCGAGCGGGCGCCGCGTGGCATGGACAGTGGAGGGGGTCGGGCGGCTCGTGGTCTTGGCGGCCGCCGGAGGAGGCGGCGGTGAGCCGCGGGGTCGGGGACAGGGGCGCCGGCGCTCCGCGCGCGTCGGTCGCGCGCGCATAATCGGGGGGCGCCGGCGGACAGGGCGGGCTCAATCTTCGTCGTCGTCGTCGACGACGTGGCTCGGCGGCGCGCCGCCGGCGCCCTTGCGGGGGACGTCGCGCGGGTACGCGGCCCAGGCCTGCTGCGCGGTCGCGTAGTGGCCGAGCTGCGTGCCCGAGATGCGGAGCCGCCAGCCCGACGACGACCCGGAGGCGAGGGAGATGCCCACGGGCCGCTTCTCGGGCATCGTCGGGTCGCGCGACTTCTCGCGCTCCGCGGCCCAGCGCGCCTCGGAGAGCGCGCCGTTCTTCCTCCCGTGCTTCTTCTCCTTGGGCTGCTTCGGCGAGTCCGGCGCCTTGCGCTTCCCGAGCACGTGGGACCCGGGCAACAGGCGCCGCCCGAGGTAGCCGCCGCCGCCGCCGAAGTCGTGCGACCCGGAGTCCGGCGCCGCGTGCGTCCGGGCCCCCAGCGGCGGCTCGCGGCGCGCCGTGTGCGCCGCGACGGTCTCGACGTCCCGCGCCGAGAAGGAGACCTGGAGGAGCGACCCGCCGGCCGTCACGACGTAGCCCTCGTGCCAGACGAGCGCGCCGCGGCCGTCGTCGAAGGGCACCCACGCCGCGTCGCCGCGGGCGGGCCACGGGGAATAGTCCGTCGAGTGGCCGAGGCTCACGGCCCGGGGCCTCCCGCCCGGGGCGTAGTCGCCGCCGAACCAGGACGGCGACCCCTCGTCCCAGCTCACGGCCCGGAGCACGTCGCGGCGCAGGAGGTCGTGCGGCGTGTGCGGCGGCGTCACCGTCTCGCCCTCGCGCGGCGACGCGGGCGGCGTCGACAGGAACGAGTCGTCGGCCGGCGGGAAGTTAAAGCCGTCGTCCGTCGGGGCGCCGAGCGGGTACCTGGGCAACCGGTAGGTTCGGGGGTCCGCCGCGGAAACGAGTCAGGGAAAGATCCCCCGCCCCGGCGCCGGCGGCGCGCTCGACGGGCGGGTCGCCGTCGTCGTGGCCGACGAGCACGGGATCCCCGAAGTTGGGCGCGTCGAAGAGCAGCTCGTCGAAGACCTGGGGGAAACGGGGGCGGATTCGCGGAAAAGCGCCGTTGCCGAACAAAAGGGGGGCTGCCTACCTCGTCGTCGTAGAGGTCCCCGGAGACCGTGCGGACGGGCGCCCGGTGGTGCGACGCCGCCGACTGGCCCAGCCGCTCGGAGAGCGGGGGGTACGCGGCCACGCTCATGGGCGGGCCGCGGCGTGCGCCGAAAAACGAGAGCGGCCGCCGCTTTCGTGAACAAGGAGAGCTAGCCCCGCAAGTGCGTTTTTGAGTCGGGGTATGATACATACTTCAACGCAGCTGAAACTGCAGGTGTCAAGGTGTCGACATCGCCCCTTTTTTGTTTCGCGACGCTCGCTCGTCCTCGCCGGGCTCTGGTGCGCCGTTACCGCGCGCGGCCGCCGCCCCTAGGCCTGGGCGAGGTGGACGACGACGGCGGTCATGTTGTCCGTGGAGCCGTTGAGGAAGCTCGCGCGGACGAGGGCCTTGGCGGCGTCCTGCTTGTCTTTGATGGCCTTGGCGACGACGGAGACGGCCTTCTCGTTCGATAGCACGTCCCAGATGCCGTCGCAGGCGAGGATGACGAACCTGTCGTCCGCGTTGAGCCGCTGCTGGACGACCTCGGGCTCGCCGACGACGACCTTCGTCGGGTGGTACTTGAGCGTGACGTCGCCGATGGACCGCGACAGGGACAGCCCCCCCGGGTAGCAGCGCATGGGGCCTGGGCAGCAAAAGGGTGCGAAATTCCCAACTTCAAAGGCTCCTCTCTCGGCCGTTTTCCGCTCGTTTCCGCTGATTTTTGGACGAGCGATCATCTCTCGGAGCGCTCTCGAAGCGTGGGTGCTGTTTCCGAAACGCGCGCGCGCGGAAAACTCACGTTGAAGCGACGTTGAATCACCCTTTTGCTGCCCTGCACGGGGCTGTCGGCGTTGGCGCCGAAGCAGAAGACGGGGCACGCGGAGCCCGCGGACTTCGCGACGCCGCCCGACGTCGCCTCCTTGAGCGACCGGCCCACGGACCCGCCCAGGTTCGTGATGCGCTTGTACTCCAACGGGTGCGTCGGCTTGTGGTCGCGGCTCAGCTCGAAGGCCGTCCACTGCTTCGACCGCTCGTTCCGGCGGCCGAGCACCGCGCGCGAGTCGCCGACCCAGCCGACGGTCAGCACGCCGTCGACGAGCAGCACGACGACGGCCGTCGTGCCGTCGAACCAGCGCGGCGTCGCCGACAGCGCCGCGCGCAGGTAGGCCTGCTCCGTGCGCGCCATGCCGAACCGCGTCGCGGCGAGGACGTCGCGGCGGCCCCACGCGGCCGTCGCGGTGATGTTGTCGAGCATGCGCTGGCCGCAGTACTGGGCCGCCCGGCTCCCCGCGTGGCCGTCGAAGACCCCAAAGTAGGCCCGGCCCGGGTCGTCGTGGATCGACGGGGACACGACGTAGACGTCCTCCATCGACGGCCGCCGGCCCTGCTCGCTCGACACCTCGAAGGCCTTGACCTTGAAGAGCTGTTTCTTGCCCGCGTCGGCCGGCGGCGCGGGCGCCGCGGCCGGCGACGGCGCCGCGGCCGGGGGCGCCGCGGGCGCGCCCGCGGCGGCCTCGAACTCCTCGAGGAGCTTCGCGAGCTCGTCCGTCTCCTCGCTCGGCGGCTCCGCCGCGGCCTTCTCCGCGGGCGCGGGCGCGGGCGCCGGCGCCTCGGCGGGCGCGGGCGCCTCGGCGGGCGCGGGCGCCTCGGAGTGCGTGCCCTCCTCCTCGAAGTCGCGCGCGCCGCCCGCGCCGGCCTCGTCGTGCTGGATCGCGTCGTGGAACGCGTCGGTGTCGCACGAGTCCGCGCGGCTCGGCGGCTCCTCGGGCGCCGGCGTCGGCGACTCGACCTCGCTCAGCGTCGACGACGTCGCGACGTCCTCGGCCGCGGCCGGCGCGGCGGCCTCGGCCGCCGGCGGCGCCGCGTCGGCCGCCGCGGGCGCGCCCGCCGCCGCCGCGAGGTCCGACGCCGCCTCCGCGAGGGGGTCCGCGGGCTTCGCCTCGCCGCAGAACTCGCAGCCGCTTTGGTTCGCCGCCAAATTCTCGAAGCCGCAGGCGGGGCACTCCCAGCCGCCGGCCATCGTTTGCGCTACGGTTACGGCCGTCGGCGCACCCCGGGGTCGGTGAACTGCGCTTTCGCGCGTCGCGGGTTGGTCCGCGGGGCTCCGGGGCGCCGAGAGGTGGATTGCCGGGTGGGAACGCCCGGTGTCGAGCAAGCTGGCGCCCGAGCAGAGCGATATGTCCTCGGGCTCGATATTTTTGGGTAAACATCGCGCGGCGAGCTGGTTGAAGCTCGGCCGGAGACGATGATGATGCCGACGCGTCCCACGCTCGCTCTGCTGTTCTGCAGCGCTGCATTCACGACCGCACTAGTGCACCAGTCGCACCACCAAAGGCTGCAGCGACCGATCCGCGCCGCGGAGGAGCCGACGGGCCTCGGCGTCGAGGCCCCAACCACAACCTATCCCGCCTGCAGCGACGAGGAGGTCATCGAGCTGCTCGACAAGGTGCCCGTCTTCTCGCTCGCCGACGAGGACGGCAACTCCGCCGTTGTCAACGACGGCGACAGCAAGTGGCTCGAGTTCTACTGCGACCCGGAGCTCGCGGTCATGCGCAAGAAGCAGTTCGGGCAAGACCAGCTCCGCGTGACCGCGCAGAGCTTGGGCCGCGCGCACGTGGCCTACGCCAAGGCCGGCGAGGGCGACATCCGCGCGCGCTTCATGGCGGACCCGCGGGAGCTCGCCTCCGCGCGCCAGATCATCCTCCGCGGCTCCGGCGCGGAGGCGGCGGCGTCGGGCAACCTCACGGCGCAGGAGCTCCTCGACGCCTACAAGCTCGTCGACGCCGACCTGCGCTTCGCGAAACCCTCCGACGTGCCCCTCTTCTCCATCGAGCAGCTCGCGCTCGCGGCCGGCGACGGCCCGGGCATGCGGCCGTGGTTCTTCAGCATGAAGGACCTCATCGAGCAGTGGCGCAACGCGTGCGAGAGCGACGCGTCCTTCGAGCAGGGCGAGGTCCAGATCCTGAGCCTCGACGAGATGCTCCGGCTCATGCGCGTCGACGCGCCCACGGACCACCGCGCGCGCATGTTCATCCCGTCCAAGGCCGCGCTCAAGGCCATCGGCGCGGCCTAGGGGCGGCCAGGTAAGGACGCCGGCGCCTCGGTTCGGGAGGAGCGCCGCACGGAAAACGCGCAGCGTCCGTGCCTCGTCGCATACCAGAGAAGCACCCCCTTACGCCCATCCCCTATGGGCTCGACTCCATCTTGAGCTCGAGGCTCACGTTCTGGATGAACTGGTCCTTGTCGATGGTCTTCTGCTGCGGGTTGAGGGGGTGCTTGGGCTCCTCGATGCCCAGCGACTTGAGCGCGTGGTCGTACTGCTGCACGCTGACCTTGCCCGTGTTGTTCGGGTCGAGCGCCTGGAAGCACGCGCGGACGTCCTGGTCCGTGAAGAAGCTCGCGGACCGGTCCTCCTGCATCTCCTCGAGCGTCTTCAGCAGGAACCTGCGCGCGGCGACGGCGTCGCGGATCCGCGCGTCCCCCCGAAATTTGCCGCGCGGGCGGCCGCACGCGTTGGGATCCGTCGGCCGCTCGAACATGAGCTTCGTCCCGAGGTCCCGGAACAGCTGCTTCACGTTGTTCTGCTTCAGGTAGACCTCGGCCTCGGCGCGCGGGTCGCCGATCGTCGCCATGGCGGCGGGCCGGCGGGCGGCGGCGCGACCGAGGCGGCGGCGGGCAGCCTGCTGAACAACTCGAGACAACGCAACGACCTGGATTTGGTAAACTTTGTTGAACTCGGAGAGGCGCCGCATAAAAAATGGCGGCAGCCCTCCTGGTCGCCGCGGGCTGCGTGCTCGCCGCCGGCGCGGACACGTTCGTCGCCGCGCCGGCGCCGCAGCGCTGCGTCTTCCATCTGCACACGCCGAAATGCGCCGGCACCTTCGTGTGGCGCTTCCTCAAGGGCCGCTTCTGCGCCGACGAGGCGCGCATCTGCGGCCGCGACGCGCTGCGGCCGCCGCCGGCCTGCGCCTGCGTCGTGAACCCCATCACGAAGGACGAGGCCGTCCTCGGCGCCATCCGGCGCGGCGCCTACGCGTTCGCGTCGTCGCACTCGCGCGCGCCGTTCAAGTCCTCTACCGCCTGCGCGCTCGCGGTCTGGTTCCGCGAGCCCCTGGCGCGCGTCCGGAGCCACTACGGCTACTTCAAGTACAAGAAGCACCGGAACCTGACGTCGCTCGCCGACCTCTACAAACGCGGCACGCCGCCGCACTGGGTCTCGAACCAGCAGTGGGCGCTGCTGCTGCCCGCGAAGAAGGTGAGCGGCTCCCGGGCGCCGAGCGACGGCGAAATCCGCGCCGCGACGCGCGAGGTGACCGGCCTCGCCTTCGTGGGCCTCGTCGAGGACATGGAGACGTCGCTGTGCGTCTTCGCGGCCGCGTACCTCCCGGCGCACGCGCGCGACCTCTGCGACCGGGCGACGCACGCGAAGCGGGAGAACGTCGCCGTCGCGGCCCGGGCGGCGGCCGACGACGCGCGCGAGCGGGACCTCGTCCGCAAGTACAACAGGTACGACGCCGCGCTCTACGACGCCGCGCGCGCGGAGTTCGCGCGGCGCAAGGAGGTCCACGAGGCCGAGGCGATACGATAGCCCGGTAAGCTGCACGTAGAAAAGCGATAACATAGCCCGCCGGCGGGATACGCTACCCGCCCGCGCGCGCGGCGCGCGCGCCGCCCGGCGGCGCGCGCCTCAGAGGAGGAAGACCCCGAGCGCGGCGAGGACGAGGCCCAGCGCGCCGGCGCTCGTCCGCGCCGCGCCGTCGACGCCCGAGTCGAAGAGGCCGAGCACGTTGCAGAGGTCGTCGGCGCACGTGGAAGCGCCGCACTTGTCGTTCTTCGCCTGCACATACTGCGCGCACATGGCCGCCTGGCCCGCGGCGTCGTCGCAGACGGCCTGGGACGCGCAGACGCCGTCGGCGACGGAGAAGGTGCGGCCCTTGATGTTGCAGCACTTGGCGGCCTCGACCTTGAGGCAGCACGCGTCCTGCCCCGCCGGGCACGTCGTCGCGACGACGTTGTCCGCGTACGTCACGCCGCCGTCGTTGCTGTGCATGTCGTGGTCGTGGACGCGGCCCTCGTAGCACTGGAGGGCCGCCGCGGGGGCGGCGCAGGCCGCCAGGAGGACCGCGACGAGGCGCATCGTTTCGGTGCGCTGGTTTCGCGAATGCCGGGGCGTCGGGTCCCACCTTCGTGCGCTTCTTCGCCTCGAAGCGACGAAAGCGGCTCGACGGTTGGGTTTCGTGCCTCGGTGCCGGGCGCCGGGCTTCGAGGAGAGGACGAAAGCCCGGGAGAGGGCTGCCCAGCGCGACAGCGCTTGTCGTTTCCCAAGGATGAGATGAAGCAACGAGGCACCCAAAGTTGATCATGTTGCCGCGAGCTGAGGCAGCAGCTCTCCGCGACGCAGCGGAGTACGTCGTCGTCGCCGCGCCATGCTCGCGGGCCTGCGCGTCGCGGCGCGCGCCGCGCCGCGCCTTCGCGCGGCGCGCCTCCTGAGCAGCGGGTCCCACAGCGACTTCGAGACCGTGCGCGCCGCCGTCCCCGACACGCCCGCCGGCGTCAAGGCCATGATCCAGGAGCAGGTCGACGGCAACACGGTCATGCTCTACATGAAGGGCACGCCGGCGCGGCCCCAGTGCGGCTTCAGCCAGCAGGTCTGCCGCATCCTCCACGCGACGGGCGTCGAGTTCGCGAGCGTGAACGTCCTGGAGGACGACGCGCTCCGCGAGGGCATCAAGGAGTTCTCGGAGTGGCCCACGATCCCCCAGCTCTACGTCGGCGGCGAGTTCGTCGGCGGCTGCGACATCGTCACCGAGTCCTTCCAGTCCGGCGAGCTCGACGAGGCCTTCAAGGCCGCGGGCGCCAAGTGAGCGGCGCGCCGGGAACCTCCGCGGCGTACCACCTCGGACTCGCCTTCACGGGGGTCTACGGTGCTACCGGTGTCGCGGGCGCGGGCGGTGCGGGGTCTTGTCTGGGGATGCGTGGGGCGGGGCGGCGAGGCCCGGACGCGTCCGGGCCTAGGACACGGAGACGGAGAGGTCCAGGGGGGGGAGCTGCTGGGTGACGTCCTGCGTGGCGATGTCGTAGGCCGCGTCGAAGTCGCCGAGGATGGCCTGCCTCGCCGCCGCGACGCGCATCGCCGCCTTGGACTGCAGTTCCACGGAGTCGCGCATCGCCTCGACCTCGACCTGCTGCTTGCGCAGTAGCGCGTTGAGCGCGTCGACCTGGCCGTAGAGCAGCTTGATGTGGGTCTGCGTGTGCTGCGCCTCCTTGTCGGCCTGGCACCGCTTGTGGAGCTGGGCGTACTTGGCCCACGTCTTCCAGCCCATGGACAGGTAGGCCTTGAGCATCATGTTCAGCACCTTGATCTGCTTGTTGCGCCAGTGGTGGCCCTTCATGGCCTTCTCGTTCCAGGCCTTGAGCGCCAGCAGGCACTGGCGCTTGAACATCTTCGTGAGCGTCATCGTCAGCTTCCGCCGCTTGTCGTCGCCGAGGTTGTCGAAGAGGTGCTTCGTCTGCGCCAGGCAGATCTTCTCGAGCTCGGCCTCGTAGCGGCCCGTCTCCGCGCGCTGCTTCTCGACGCGCTCCTGGAGCGCGCGGATGATCTGCTCCGGCGGCATCTGCTCCTCGTAGAAGCACGTCTTCCACTTCTGCCAGCCCATGTTGAGCTGCATGTTCTCGACCTTGGCGAAGAAGGCCGTCCACGTCTTCTCCTGCGTGACCATGAGCTTCACGGTGAGCTTCCATCGCAGGAAGCCGCCGTTCTTCATCTCCGGGCCGTTCTTGCTGAAGATGGACACGAGGAAGGACCGCTTCTTCGTGTCGAGCGCCTTTAAAGCCACGTCCGCGAGCTTCTTCAGTCGCGCGTCCAGCACGGCCTCGGCGTCGTCGTAGGCCGCCTTGGCGACGTCGACCTGCTCGCCCAGGATCACGATCTGGTTCTCGCGGCTCTGGCCGCCGAACAAGTTGCACGAGCCCGCCCACGTCCGCCACGCCTTGATGTACGCCGCCTTCTCGCGGTCGACGATGATCTTCAGGATCATCTTCGCGAGCTGGATGTGCTCCAGGAAGAAGATGCGGTCCTCGTAGTCGTGCATCTCCACGTGCATCTTCTCGATGATGCGCGTCACGTGCTCGACGTTGACGTGGTGGTTCTTCGCGTTCTCGATCGACGACTCGACGAAGTCGACGTCGCCCAGCTGCTTGCCCGCCTCCGGGTCCGCCGCGGCCTGCTTGACGACGTTGCCGTGGGACTTCAAATCCTGCGCGCGCACCGTCGGCCGCCGGCCCGAGCTCTGCTTCTGCGCCGCGAGTAAAGGCGAGCTGCCCGAGATGATGACGGACTTCTTGCGGCCGCGCTGGACGACCTTGGCGTGGGGCACGTGGCCCTGCCAGTGGGACGGCGGCCGATCGTCGCCGCCGTCGTCGCCGGAGCCGCCGCCGCCGAAGCCGTGGCTCCCGCCGCCGGCGAACGCGTCCGCGGCGTCGCGGAACGAGTCGTGGTGGTCGCGGTCGCCTGGGCAGCAAAAGGGTGATTCAACGTCGCCTCAACGTGCGTGTGCCGCGCGCGCGCGTTCCAAGAAAAGCATCTACGCGTCGAGATCGCTCCGAGAGATGATCGCTCGTCCAAAAATCAGCCGAAACGAGTGGAAAATGGCCGAGATCGGAGCCTTTGAAGTTGGGGAATTTCGCTCTCTTGTGCTGCCCTGGCGGTCGCCGCCGCCGCCGTAGCCGCCGCTCGGCCCGCCGCCGGACCCGCCGCCGCCGCCGTAGGTCGCCACGGGCACGCTGGAGGCGTAGCCGCCGCCGTCGGAGGAGCCCCACGCGCTCCGCGCGGGCTCCTTGACGCGCACGCGCGGCGGGCTGTCGTCCGCGTCCCGCAGCGTCGTGTTCTGGCCGTCGTCGGAGTCGATGGGCGGCAACAAGCGCGTGGGCATGTTCATGGGGTCGCCGCCCCCGAAGGCGCTGGACCCGTAGCCGCCCGCGAAGGCGCCCGACTGGTCGAAGCCGCGCGACGGCGACTCGGGCGCCGTCGCGGGCCGCTGGCCGAAGCCGTCGCCGAGGGCGGGCTTGGACCCGTAGTCGTCGAAGGCGTACATCTGGTCCCGCCGCTGGGCCCCGCGCAGCTTCTCCTCGGCCAGGGAGACGGCCGTCGCGGTCTGCGAGAGCATGTATTTCACGGGGTTCATCACGGCCATGGGGTCGTTCTGCGGGACCTTGCCCCAGGCCGTCGGCACGCCGTTGAGCAGGTACCTGCGGATGAGTGCGTCGACGGTACGCGCGGAAGCGCGCGCGAGGGTCGCGGCGCGCGCGCGGCGGCCGGCCGCGCGTCCGGCTTTCGGCCGGCCGCGCGGGCCCGCGGCGGCCGCGCGGACCGCGGCCGCGCCGCCGCCGCGCGCTGTTCGCGCCCCGCCCCCGCGGCGGCCTCCCGGGACGCCGAAGAGACGCACGGGTTCCCGAGCGTCGCCACCTCCTGCGACACTCGGAACCGCTGCTCCTTGACCTGCCCTTTGAAGGCCTCCTTGGTCGTATTGAACCACTCCTGCTCCCGCGCGTTGAGCTGCTTGCGCGTGATCAGCGCGTTGGAGTTCGCCATGGCGTCCGGGCGGCCCGAGGCGACGTCCCCGGCCGTCCCACCCGGGCGAAGGAAGCCGCAGCGGCCCCAATGTACCGGGCTGCCTGCTGAGAGGAGCGCTGCAGTAGTGGATATGTTCACCACGTTGACGAGCAACTTGAATTTAATAAGTTTTAGCGCGGGTGTCCCGGCTCCGGGCGGAGAGCGTCGTCGACCATGCCCATCGACGTCCACGCGGTCATCGACCCGCAGGACCGCATCAATGAGATCGCGGAAGCGTGGCAGAAGATGGACGGCGCGGCGGCGCTGCGCACCATCGTCATGCAGGCCCGCGAGGCCAAGGCCGAGGCCGAGTACCGCGTCGTGGAGCTCAAGAACATGCGCAAGAAGCGCTTCTGGGGCTGCCCCGGCGTGGAGCGGCGCTGGCACCTGCACATGGCGCACGTGCCCCAGTCGCAGGCGAACGGCACCTACGCGCGCCTCGGCGCGCCCGTAAAGATGGAGAACATGAACCTGCACCGCCACGGGTACCACGGCGGCGGCCCGCCGCTGGACGTGCGCGCGGCGACGGCCCAGCGCTACCCGCCGCGGAAGGCGCGGACGCCCTACCCGGACCGCATCAACCAGAGCAGGAGAGCGCAGGTGAGCTACGACTGGTACGGGAGAGGCCACGACACGCCGCACGACCCGCGCCGCGCGCTCCGGGGCGTGCCCCGCCACGTCGTCTCGTCGAACTTCTCCTCGAACACGGCGGACCGCTTCGAGAAGACGACGCGGGCCGGGCCCGACTTCGAGACGTTCCAAGCGGCGCACTCGCGGTCCCAAAAATGGTCGACGACGGGCCGCTTCCGCGACTTCTCTTCTCTAGAACCGAAGCTGTCGCTGTCGACGCCCGTGGCCGAGGTCGCCCCGAAGAAATCGAGGACGAACCGCGTGAGCCGCGCGGACCTGGACCGCGTCGACCGGGACCCGCTCTACCACCCGCTCGGGTCCACCGTGGACCGCGGTCGGCCGGACCCGGCGGACCTCTGCGACGAGACGCTCGCCGCCTACCGCGCGACGCTGATCCTCGGCCGGTCGCGGGCGCCGCCTTAAGACTCGGACACGCGCGCGCTGCCGGGCCAGTCCGGCGACGCCATCTCCGTCAGCCGGCTCGCGGCGCGGCGGAACGCCCACGCGAGCTCGCGCACGGACGCGAGTTCCAGCGCGCGGTCGACGGCGTCGTCGTCGTCCGCCGGGTCCGTCGCGTCGACCCACTTCGACGCTTCGAAGGTCGCCGGCGTCGCCGCGACGGGCCCGGACGGCCGGTCCAGGCCCGGCAGGCCCGCGCCGGCCGCGCGGCGCTCGCGCTCGAAGGCCGCGGGCGTCGGGAACAGCGCGTCCGGAACTTCCCTCGCGACGACGACGGCGACGACGCGCCGCTCGTAGAGCTCGTCGATCAGCGTGATGAAGCGTCTCGCCGCGTCGTGGTCCAACAGGCTGAACCTGGGCACGTCGGCGATCGCTAAAAACGGGAACCGTTCCGCGATCGCGCCGTAGTCCGCCGCGCCTCGGTCCAACCCGCAGAGGTCGTCGAACCGGAACGCCGCCGCCTCCCGGCCGTCGGCGCCGCGGAAGAGCGCCGCGGGGACGACGGACCGCGACCGCGCCACGGCGACGGGCGCGACGTCGATAGCGGTCATCTCCGGCGCGACGCCCCGCAGCAGGTCGACGGCCGTCTCCGTCCCGTCGCCGTCTCGCGCCACCGCGTAGCGCACGGCCGCATGTTCGCCCGACGACATGCGCAGGCGCCGGTGGTCCGTGCCGCTCACGACCTCCAGCACGGTGCACTGGTCTTCTAAACGGTCCACGAAGGGCAGGAAGTACTCGCGATTCAGGCCGCCCTCGTAGAGATCGCGCGGCGGCCGATTCGACGTCGCCACGAGGATCATGCCCGCGTCCCAGCAGCTCGCGAAGAGCTTCTCGGCGATCATGGCGTCGGCGACGTCCGTGACCTGCATCTCGTCGAAGCACAGCACCTCGGCCTCTTTCGCGAGCTCCGCGCCGATGCGCGCTATGACGTCGCGCGTACTCCGCGCGTCGCCGGCCTCGCGCGCCGCGTGGATGCGCTCGTGGATCTCGAGCATGAACTGGTGGAAGTGGACGCGCCGCTTCCGTTGCACCGGCAGCCCGCCGAAGAAGAGGTCGCAGCAGAGGCTCTTGCCGGAGCCGACTTCTCCGAAGACGTACGCGCCGCGCGGCACGCGGGGCCGCCGCGGCGCCGGCGGCGCCGCGGCGTCGTCGTCCGCCTCGTCGCGCTCGAGCGCGTAGCGCTCCTGGAGCGCCGCGTCCTTCTCGCGCGCCTTGTGCTCCTTGAGCAGCACGCGCTGGAGCTTCGACAGGTGCTCGAGGACCAACACCTGGGCGCCGTCGTAGCGCAGCTGGCCCCGTTGCACGAGGTCCGTGTAGCGCTGGATGGGGCTACTGAACAGGCGCGCGGAGCGCGGCGCGAGGCGCACGCATCGCTGGACGAGGAGCATATTGCGACGCCGAACTTTGGCGGAGCCGCTTGCCACCGAAGTGGCGGCGGCGCGCTGGCCCGGCTCGCCGAGGCGCGCGCGGCACAGCACGATCGGCTCATTGACTTTGACGATGTCTGGTGCTAAAGCAGTGTAGAAATCCCGCCGCCGTGAGAGTTCGGCCGCCCAAGACGTGCCCCGCACGCCTCATGAGCCGCGCGACACGCCTGGCTCGCGGTTCGCGAAAAAAAAACGCCGCGGGAGCCCGCGCGAGAGACGAGCGCCGCTGTTGTGGACTTTTTGGCCGCGGCGACGACGCGATCCCTGCGCAGGCGCGTCGTGGGTGTTGAACTCGCTCCTCCGGGAGGCGGCCATCGGCCTCGGCCTCGGCGTCGGCTTCGGCCTCGTCTGGTGGCAGCAGGTCACCGCGCGCGTTCCTCCGCGTCCGCCGATCGAAGCCGCTCGTCCCGTTTTCCCGAACCGTTCGCCCGCAGGCCCACGGCGAAGAAGATCAAGGACTACTACGACGGCAAGTAGACCGGGCGGCCACCGTAGGCCCCGACCGACCCCCCGCATAATTTTCCCTCTCCCGCCTCGGTTCGCCGCGGCCACCGGTCGGTCGCCCGCCTACCGTCGGTCGGTTGCTACCCAAAATTATCCGCGACCGTGTGCGCGGCGTTCGTGACGAAGGCCTCCTCGGAGACGGCGACCTTCTTCTTCTTGCCGCCGCGGTCCATCTTCTGCGCGTCCGGGGCCTTGGCGCCGAGCGCGCGCGCGGGGTCGTAGACGGGCCGCTTCTCCCAGAGCGTCGAGTCCAGCGAGAACGTCGACGGGCCGTCGCAGAGCGCGCAGGACGTGCAGCAGAGGCGCTGGCCCGGCGACCGCTCGACGTGGACTTTCGTCCACCAGAGGTCCTTGGGCACGAAGATCTGGCCGGACTCGTTGTCGTACTTGTTGATGGACAGGAAGTAGAACTCCGGCAGCGCGTCCGTGAACCAGTGCGTGCCCGGGCAGCCCCGGCGCCGGCCCGCGTGGAGCGACAGCGCGAGGTGGAGCGGCTGGAACACTTCGGCGTCCTCCCGCCTCACCTGCTTCACGACGGCCTGCATGCGCCCGCGCGCGAGCGCCAGCTTCCAGGAGAAGCACAGGGGGCAGCCCGGCAGGGGGTGGGACGCCGCCGCCGCGTTGATGCGGTCCAGCGCGCCCATCATCGCCGCGAGGTTCGCGCTCTTGCCCTGCTTGTGCTTCTTCGCGAGCACCGTCACCCAGTTCTTCGAAATGTCCGTCGTCAGGAACGCGTCGAAGCCGTGCTTGATCGCCGGCCCGGACGCGCCGACGTAGTCCTCGGCCTCCGCGGGCCGCACGTTGTTGATCGGCACGGCCGGCAAGACGCAGGCGACGTCGGCGAGCTGGGCGGCGCGGATCATGGCCATGGAGCCCTTCTGGACGCCCCAGGACACGCCGACGGGCGTCCGCGCCTTCATGAGCCAGATGAACTCCGTCGGCAGCGCGAAGAGCGTCGTCGCGCCGCCCTGCTTGGGCATCTGGTCCTCGAGGAAGCGTCCCCAGTTCTCCTTGGCCTCGAAGAGGTACTGCTCGTGGTCCTTGTTCCCGTTCTCGTCGTCCAGGTTCGGCAGGACGAGGACCATGACCGCGCCGCGGCCACGTCGCGGGCTGGCCTACATGTAGCGCATCGCGCTCTATTCTATCTCTGAATCATCTGAGATTGGAAAGTTTCGCGACTTGAACTGCACCATCCAGTTATGTTCGGTGTTGAAGACGTCAACAAGAGTTACTTCCGCCGGGACAGGCTCGGCGACGCGGGCGACGCGAGCCAGGACGCGTCGCTCAGGCTCGACGCCGGGCTCGTCGTCCGCGACCGCGCCGTCTCGTGGAGCGTGATCTCGAAGGGGAGCATCTCCGCGATGAGCTTCGACTCCTCGACCGCGTCCACGAGGGGGCTCCAGAGCGAGCTCCGGATGAAGCGGTCGAAGGAGTCCGTCTCCATGAGGCGCTCGAGCTCGAAGAGCACGGCCGTGAAGAGGTCGTCGGGCGGCGGCCGCGCGTCGCCGAAGGACCGCTCGTGCTCCTCGAGTCGACTCCGCGCCTCGTCGCGCGCGCGCGCGGACACGTTGATCTGGAGCGGCGCGCGCACGTCGACGAAGGTGTCGTAGAGGCGGCGCGAGGCCGTCGTCGGGAAGCGCTGCGTGTAGAGGCTCGACTTGCGCGTCCGCCACGAGACCTCCGGCGGCGCCGAGTCGCGGCGCTCGCAGAGGCTCGGCTGCCCCCAGTCCGCGACGCCGTCGTCGGCGTCGTCGAGCGCGTCGGCGTCGAGCCGGGGCGAGGCGTCGAGCGACGGCGACCGAGGCGCGGACGCGTCCGTCGGCGCGGGCGCGAGCGTCGGCGAGAGCGGAGTCGCCGGACATCCTCGCGTCGGCGAGAGAGCTCCCTTTTCCGGCGGCTCGGGCTCGCCCGGCGGCGCGCGCCGCCGGATGGCCTCGTCGGCGTGGAGCTGGGCCATGCCGATCTGCCACCAGCGCAGGGCCTGCCAGGCCTTCAAATTTTCCACGGCGAACTCGCGGGCCAGGTGCGCCTCGAACGCCGACAAACCCGCGTCCGAGCTCAGGAGCTGGCGCATGGTCAGGTCGTCGCCGGGCGTCGCCACCTCGTAGGGCGACATGCGCCGCTTCGACGACGACGGCGAACTCGCCGACGAGCCCGAGCTCGGCCGCGCGAGGCGCGGCGTCGCGCCGCTTCCCAGCGACGCCGACGCGGACCGGCCCCGGCGGAACTTGCCCACGGCGTCGTGCTGGAGCGCGTAGGCGCAGGGCGCGACGACCTGGACGCTGTGCGTCAGGAAGCAGCACACAAGGCCCAGGTACCAGCCGTTCGCGCGCGCGCCGTAGGCGCCGTCGCGGCGGCCGCCGCGCGAGATCGCCAAATCCGCGCCCGCGAAGATGACGCAGAAGAGGGAGCACAGCACGAGCTCGCGCTTGATGCCGTGGGCGTCGTCGTGCTCCAGCAGGGACCGCGCCATCGCCAAAACGAGGCAGCCGCCGAAGAACAGGGCTTCTAAACCAAGCGCGAGGCGGTGGCCCGCCGCGAGCCCGCAGGGCCGGCATTTGCTCCAGCCCGCGGCGCCCCGCACGTGCGCGCCCGGCAGCAGCGCAACCACCAGAAGCGCGAAGACCACGGACCCGCCCCAGAGCAGCGCGGAGACCGCGAGCGCCCAGCGCCGCGTGAGCCGCTTTTTGAGCTGCAGCAGCTTGCGGATCGTCGCCGCGTCCAGGGGCTCGCTGAGCACGGTGCCCCGCACGGTCTGGGCCCAGGTGTAGCGGAAGCGGAGCACGATGGCCCGGAGCACGAGCGGCGTCGTGTAGAGCGGGATCGCGACCATCGCGAGGAAGACGTAGAGCCCGCAGGGGAACCGCCGCCAGCCCACGGCGTCGCGCAGGGCGCTCATCGCGAGGAACACGAGGCCCGCGCACGAACTCAGCACGACGAGGACGTGCGCCCGCGCCGCCGTCAGCGGGAAGAGGCGCCGCCGCTGGAGCCGCCGGTAGACGGCGATGGACGCGACGACGTAGGCGACGTAGGCGCAGCCCACGACGACGCCGACGCGCCGCGCCCGCGCCGGGTGGGCCACGCTGTAGGGCACGTCCGCGACGTCGCAGCCCATTCGATCGTCTCAGGCGGCTTCACGATGGCCCATCGGATGCGCCGGGGCTGCTTCACGATCGGCTTGCTGAACCCCTTGGGCAGCATGGTCCGCGACGCGTTCGGCTGTACAGCAGATGGGACCACCTAGACACCGATGAGAGCACCTACGACAGCGACGGTCCCGTCGAATTAGCCCACGACGAGGACGTCTTAGAGGACTTCCGCGAGTGGGAACAAATGCCGTGGATGCCGTGGGAGATGGAACAAACCAGGCTGCTCCTCGAAGCGATCTGGAAGAATGACGCGTGGGAGGTGCGTGACCTGGTCGAAGGCCATGGGGCATGTGGCGCCAACCCAAATACAGATACGATGATGATGCTGGGGCGACCGAAGCGCTGGCTCTTGCACGAAGCTCGAGACGGCGAAGTTGTCTCCATTCTCGTCGCGAATGGCGCGGACGTAGAAAACCGCGGCGAGGGCGGTCGCACGGCGCTGGCCGACGTGATCTTTGAGGGCGCAGGCAAAGAGGACAAGGTGGTGCACGACACCGTCGTCGCTCTCATCGCCGCGGGCGCCGACGTTCATGCGCGAGACGATTACGGCACGAATCCCATGGATCTTCTTAACCACACGAACATTGCCTTCTCTAGCCGGAGGTTAAGCCCCCATCGACCTCGATTCTGGCGCCATCAGATACTTGTCGCGCTCCTCCGCGGGGGAGCGCTGGTGGAGAACATGCAGCGGAAATATTTTGACCTCGTCAGCAAGTTCGGGGACTTTCCACAATTCTGCGCCAATCGCGCGCGCGTCTGGGTCTCCGTCATCACCAAGGGCACCGGCCTGCCGGACGACGAGGCCGGCGTCGTCGCGTCCTTCGTCTCGCCGAGGGGCGGCTACTTACTTCCGGACTAGAATGCGCGTGCTGATCCGACCCGCGTGCGAGGAGAAGATGCGAGGGGTCTGTTAGGGATGCTGGGGCGGGCGGGTCCGCGTCGTCGGCCCCCGCAAGAGAGGGCCGCGCGCGCGAGCCGCGGGCGGGCGCACCGGAGCGCGCGCGCGCGCCCGCGACGAGGTTTCGTGCTTGGGGTCTTTGGCGCCTAGAGCTGCATGAGGGCCGCGAGGGCGGCCTTGTCGACGGGCCCCGTCTCGCAGGGCGCGCCGACGCGCCGCCGGGCCTCGCGCGCGAGCGTGATGCACTCCTGGAGGTCGATGGGCACGCCCGCGGACACCGCGAGGCCGTGGAACTCCGTGGCGCCGCCGAGCGTGGGCGGGCAGACCTCGAAGGCGTCGGAGAGCTTGGTCATGGCGGCGAACTTGTTGACGACGACGAAGAGGTCCGACTTGGGGAAGCGCGGCGCGCCCTGCGCCTCCATGTAGCGGAGACGAGTACTCGTCGGCCTCGTAGATCGTGAACTTGTGGCCGAGGAACTCGATCTCGTTGCCCACGTGCAGGTCCTCGGCGCCGTAGTAGGCCGTCACGGGCGCCGGGCCCCAGACCGCGCCCGCGGGCGCGGGCGCGGGCGCGTTCGTCTGCTCGACTTCCGGCTTGCGGACGCGCGACCGCGACAGGAAGTTGCCGCCGATGTGGCCGCTGTTGCGCAACGGCGGCTCGCGGATGGCCATGGTGTCGTCGATGAGGTAGTACTGCAGCGTGAAGATGCGCTGCTTGTCCTCGTCGCGCGCGTTCGCCATCTTGATCGAGAACCGCATGACGTTGCCGCAGTTCTCGGACTTGGACAGGTCCCGCGTCGGCTTCTTCGGTCGTATGCTGTAGACGGACCGCAGCGAGTCCTCCTCGGAGCCGAAGCCGTTGAAGGGCGGCACGGGCGTCTGCACGAGGTCGTCGCGGAACCGGCTCGCGTCGACGGCGATGGGCCGGCCCAACGGCTTCACGGCGTTGTAGTGGTCCACGGTGTAGGGGTCCGCGTCGATCAGCAGCAGGTTGCGGTTGAAGACGACGACGGGCTTGCCCAGCACGAGGTCGCGCCAGTGGTAGTACTCCGTCTTCGACGGGCCGGACGGCGACGACGCGAGCGGCCCGCCCGCGACCTTGTCCTGCTCCTGGGGCAGGGGCAGGCGCCGGCGGCTCAGGAGCTTGGGCACGGGGTCGCGGCCGTTGTTCTTCTCGTGGACCTGCAAAATCTCGATCGTGTCGTCGCTGAGGAAGTAGTGGAGCTTGAACTTCAAGACGTCGCCGTAGAGCCGCGCGGAGTCGTCCCAGACGCAGTCGAAGCGCAGCACCTTGCGGTCGTGGGCGAGGAAGCTGCCTAAATCGGCCTGGGACTGGGGCTTGCCGAGCTGGGCCTCCATGAACTGCTTCATCGGGTGCATGCGCCGGTTCCTTTTCACCGTCAGATCCGCGCCCGTCTCGCGCTGCATCTTCGCCCGCAGCATCTTGTTGTACTCGCCCTCGGGGCAGGGCATGGCCTCCGTCTTCGTCCCGAAGGACGCCGTCGACGGCTCGCCGTCGACGCCCGTCATCACCGTCGCGGCGTCGAGCGTCGCGTCGGCCGCGTCGATTTGCGGCGACGCCTGGTCCAGGAACTGCTTCGTGAACTCGTCGCAGTCGTAGATCTTGATGCGCTTCTTGTAGACCTCGAGCTCCGCGCCGACGTAGAGGTCCTCGGCGCTGTAGAACGCGTCGCCGAACCCGGGCTTCGGGATGCGGTGGCGCCGGATGAACGCGCCCTGGGGGATGCCCGAGTTCTCCTCGGTGGGCTCGACCATCTGCATCGTGTCGTTCTCGAGGTAGTAGTAGATGAGGCACTTGCGCACGCGCTGGCGCTCGAGCGTCGACTCGTTGACCTTCTCCTCGTAGTACGCCTTGAAGCATAACACTTTGCGGTCGTACTTGAGGAAGTTGGGCATTTTGGATTCTTCGCCGTAGGGCAGGTGGTGCGCGCTGTTGAGGCGGTCGCGCTGCTGGGACGTGATGGAGTAGCGGCCGTAGAGGTCGTTGAAGTCGCCCGCGTCGCGGCCCGCGAACGACGTGGACCGGCTCAGCGCCACGGAGCCCGGGGCCGGCGCCGTGATGGGCCGCAGGGGCACGCCGGACCGCACGAGCATGTAGCCGTGCTGCACGCGGAGCGACTGCTTCACCTGTTTGGGCGTCGCGGGCGACGCGCGGAACCCGGGCAGGTTCGGGATCAGCGCCTACGGAATTAGTTCGGTGACGTCGCCGCGGCGCGCCGCGCGCGTTTTGGTTCGTTTCCCGGAAGCGGTTTTTGGACGCCGGCGGGGCGCCATCTGCTCCTTGGACGGGGAGCCCGTCCCGAGCTGCGGCGAGCTCATGGACAGGCCGAGGCTCCGCGCCGGGGACCGCATGGACATGGCGCGAGGCTCCGGCGGCCCGCGCGCGGCGAGACCGTCGCACGAGCGGACCGGGTCAACGGGCGCGCGGGCACGCACGGGCCCAGCGGACCGGCAATGGCCCACGGCGTATAGCGCAGCTCGTCTCGGAGAGCGCCGATGGGGGGCTGTGTCGGTATCTAACGCGTTGATTTTGATACATGCACGCCAGCGATGCCGTGCACCATTCGCTTCCATTACGAGGCCGCCATGACTCAACATCACTCGGACACGGCGACGGGCGCCGGCGCGCGGGCCTCCTCGACGATGCCCCGGAGGAGCGCGATCTTCGGCGCGTCCTCGTCGCGGTCGTACATGAGCGCGAGGTTGCCGAGGTACTTCTCCACGACGGCGACGAGCGCGGCGCGCTCCGGCGTGGGCTTCGGGTCGTCGAGGAAGTGGGCCGCGCCGGCCACGAGCTCCGACGCCTCGTAGACCGCCGGGTGCGGCGACGGGTCGGCGACGCCGCCGTCGAGCGAGCCCGCGGCGAGGCACTCCTGCTTGCGGACCATGGCGAGCGTCGCGGTGATCCAGTCGCGCGTCAGCTCGCCGCGCGGCTCGCACTTGCGCAGCGGGATGCCCTTGCCGTCGTAGCACGCCTTCGCGTGGGCCAGGTTCATGGACGCGTTCGCGAGGATCGCCGTGGCGCGGAACGCGAGGTAGTGGGACGGGCTCAGCTCCTGGCCCGCGCGCCACCTGGGCGGGAAAAGGGCGCGAACTTCCCAACTTCAAAGGCTCCTCTCTCGGCCAGTTTCCACTCGTATCGGCTGGTTTTTGGACGAGCGATCATCTCTCGGAACGGTCTCGAAGCGCGGATGCTTTTTCCGGAAAGCGCGCGCGCGGCACACGCACGTTGAAGCGACGTTGAATCACCCCTGTTCCGCCCCGCGCGCCACGCGAACTCGTCGACGGCGCGCCGCGTCGCCGCGGCGTCCGGCGCGGACGACACGGGCGGCTGGCCGATGGCGAAGCGCTCCTCGAGGTGCCGCAGCGCCGCGTGGGCGTCGTCGCGCAGCCCCTCGAGCTCCGCGGCGAGGCGCTCCTCCGTCGGCGCGGCGTCGAAGGGCCCGCAGCGCGCGCACTCCCAGAACGTCGCCGCGCGCGGCGCGTCCGTCTGCGGCTCCGCGAGGGTGACGACCGCGGAGCAGCCGGGGCACCGCGCGGCCCGGAGCGGGTCCGGCGCGACGCAGCGCTCGCAGCGGCAGAAGAAGTCGAAGCGCGACCGGAGCCGCTCGCGGCGGTCGCGCGTCGTCAGCCACCAGGGCGTCCCCGTGTAGCAGAACGACACGTGCTGCCCCGCCGCGATGGGGCGCACGCACGTGTAGTCCAGCGACCCGTCGGCGTGGCTCCGGAAGCGGCAGTTCGGCCGGCAGTCGTGGCAGCAGAGCGACGCGTCGACGTACAGCGCCGCGCGGCGCTCGACGCCCGGCGCGCCGCCGGCGACGCGGCTGTAGTTGTGGCTGTTGCAGTCCGCCAGGAGGATCAACGCCAGAATCTCGTCGCGCCCGAGCGCGCCGAACTCCTTGGTCCGCGCGAGCTCGAGCGCCTTTTCGCGCCGGACCTCGAGCATCGCGGACGTCCGGTCGAGCGCGGGGTGGTACATGCCGAGGATGCGTTTTTGTGTTGCCTTGTCGCATCTCTGGAAGGCGCGCAGCAGGAAGGGGTAGCCCCTGTCCGGCGGGTCGTCCCAGACGAGCACGGGCGTGTCGCTCACGATGACCTCGCCGGGCGCGAAGGGCCGCGTCGCGACGATCGTGCGCCCCATGAGGGCGTCGTGCTTCACGGTGACGCCCTCGTGCAGGCCCATGATGGGTTTTGTTGTTATCGGCGCGGCGCGGGGAGGTTTTGCGCGGTGCACGGGTGATCGAGGTGCACCTTACTTGATGTCCATTAGCGCAGGCCCAGACGCAGGACTGCAGTATGCACCTTGAATCATATATTGAACGTTTCCTGAGAAGGTAAATTTGGAGTCCCCAAAGGAAGCCACTTTGAGGCTGCCCGCGCCATGTCGGCCTTTCGCGACGGCGACTCCTACGCGCGCGCCGAGGCGCGCGGCCGGTCCGTGCGGCGCGAGGGGTCGCAGCAGCGCGTCGTCACGAACGCGTGCATCCCCGGCGGCTGCCTGCCGCAGGCCTGCCTCGACCGGTCGGTGATGAACGGCTGCGACGACATGTGCGCCGCCCGGGACGGGCGGCGCGACGGCGGCGGCGGCGCAACGAGCTCGCCGCGCCAGGCGCGCACGCCGAGCGCCTCCGGGCCCTACGAGGCCTTCGTCGTGCGCATGTTCGACCGGCTGTCGTTCGGGCTGTCGTTCTCGAGCAGCAGCGACCCGAAGCTGCTCCAGGCCCACGTCGTCTTCCGCCACGCGCAGCGCCTGCCCTGCGAGCCCTTCTTCGCCGACGACGTCGAGTTCTGGGCGCCCAAGGTCGTCGGCGTCGAGGACTGCGAGGGCATCGACGTCCAGTCGGCTTTACTCAACGCGGGCGACGGCGACAAGGCCTTCGCGGAGGCGCCGGGCGCCTGGCGGAAGCAGATGCTCTCCATCGACGGCTGGAACGCGGCGCTGAATTTCGGGCGCAAGCTCCGCAAGAAGTACTGCGGCCTCCTCGGCGACGCGCCGGAGACGGGTTTGGTCGACGCGCGCGCGACGGACACGATCCGCACGCAGCTGTCGACGCAGGGCGTGCTCGAGGGCCTCTGCCCGGGCAAGGGCATGGCGAAGAAGGTCTACTCGGCGACGACCTGGGCCCCCTTCGGGGGGCACCGGCCCTTCGACAAGCTCATGATCTCGCCGGGCCCCTTCGCGCGGCGCCTCATGGCGTCCATCAAGGTCCACGGCGACATCCGGGACGTGCTCGAGGGCCAGGCGGATTTGGAGCACAACGAGCGCTTCCTGCGCGAGTCGCTCAAGGTCGTCCACGCGGACGCGCCGCTCAACTTCGACCCGGAGACCGCGTCCATCTTTTTGCTGGGCGACTCGCTGAACCAGCGCCGCATGCACGGCGGGCCGTTGCCGCCGGGCATCTCGGCGCCCCTGGCCTTCTCCCTCGAGTCCTACTTCGAGGACGCGTTCGACCGCTGCGTGAGCGACCGGAACTGCGCGTTGGAGGCGCACGGGCCCATCGTCAAGGAGATCTTCTCGACGATGAAGTACGACACGACGGGCCGCAAACTCTTCCTCTACGGGGCCCACGACCTGACGATCTTGAGCTGCCTCCGCGTGCTCTGCGTGTTCCCCAAGCCCTACCCGGAGACGCTCATGTCGCTCATCCTCGAGACCTACGAGTGGTACGGCGCGACCTACCTCCGCGTCCAGTACGCGGGCAAGGACGCGAAGATCCCCTGCGTCAAGTACGAGACGACGCCCAAGGGCATCGAGATGTGCCTCCTCGCGGACGTCGAGGCGCTCGTCTTCCGCGACTGACGCCGGCCCACAATTCGCAACGCACGCCCCCAATTCTAAGACGCTTGTTTTTTTACACCTTCGCGAGCTGCTCCCGGATGCGGCCGAACCCGTCGAGCATGGCGTCGAGGACGCCGGGGCTCATCTCGAACGCCTCCTGGCCTGCGCGCGCGCGGGGGGGTCGCGTCCCGCGCGCGCGGCGTCGGAGCGCGGGCGCGGGGCGACGCGCGCAGCTCCGGCGCCTCGCCGACGCGCGTCGGCTGCGCCTGGACCTATGGCACGTCGGTTTTGGGGGCGCGCGCGAAGGAAGCGCGCACCTGGAGGTCGACGACGACGGCGGGGTTCGCGTTGGTCTTCGTCGGCGGCTCGACGCGCCAGGCGACGTCGACGAGCTTCGGGTGCGAGATGAGGTCGTCGCCCATCGTGTTTCCGAGGCGGATCCGCGTCGGCGCGGGGGTCCGCGGCCTCGGCGCGGCGGCGCAGCCCGTGGAGATGGTGATCAAGTTGAGGCGTTCAACAAAATTGGGTGCACACTCGGGCAGCCTCGACAGGGTGGGACGCTTCGGAAAGGCCGTCGTCGGCCGCCGGCGCGGCCCGGCCTGATCCTTGTTCCAGGATGAGCGCGAACCTCGCGTGGAACCAGACCAACAACTTCCAGGCCTACTACGGCGAGACGCCGACGCACCCGTCCTGGTTCAAGGAGATCCCCTTCGTCGCCCCCGACGACCTCACCAAGGCCATGAAGCGCACGATCCGCATCGGCTACGAGCACGTCGCGCCGCAAATGTACACGAGCGAGAAGCAGCGCCTCGCGGGCGGCTGGAAGGCCATGGAGGAGGAGCTCGCCCACGCGGAGTCCATCGACCAGGCCGGCCGCTACGAGATGCCGTCGTGGGACCAGTGGAAGGTCGAGTTCTGCAACTGGTGGGAGGTGCGCAAGCCGGGCCAGAAGCGCCTCGCGGAGATGATGGCCGTGTGGAACCCGGACCCCTACGGCGAGGCCGAGGCCGAGGCGAACAACTGGTACAAGGGCCTCCGCAAGTGGGCCGCGTGAGAATTTTCGGCGTAAGCGCTCGAGTGGCGGGGGGGCTAAGCTTGCGAGACACACCGGAGCGCCGGCGTGCGACTTAGCGGGGCGGGGGCGGGGGCGGCGCGAAACCAGCCAGCCCCGTCACTCGTACTTCTTCTTCCAGACGGGCGGGTCGAGGACGACGACGGTCGCGGAGATGTCGTCCTGGTAGCCGCCGCCCTCGTTGATCCAGTACTTCGTCGCGATGTTGACGAGGTACTTGGCGGCCATCTCCGCGCGGAGGGGCTCGTTGACGTTCAGCCGGAGGGACGCCTCGACGAAGCGGACGGCCTGCCGGTTGGACACGTACTCCCAGACGCCGTCGGAGGCCAGGATGATGAACTTGTCCGACGCCGTGAGCTTGACGTGGGACACGTCCGGCGTCGCGATGACGCCGATCTTCTTCGCCGCGTGGTCGCCGAGGGTCCGCGTCGGCTGGAGGCCCGGGCCCGAGAAGGACTCGTCGAACCAGATGCGGTCGCAGGCGTAGCCCGGCGCGGGCTCGACGACGCCGCCGGCCTCCTCGATGCGCTGGATCTCCGTCGCGTCCGTGATCTTGTGCTCCACGGTGACCTGGACGGCCTGGAGCGCGCACTTCTCGCTGACCTCCGTCGCCGTGGACCGGCGCCGGCCCGGCGCGTTCTTCGGCGGGTCCTCGCCCGTGCGCGGCGACGGCAGCTCCTCGTTCTTCGCGTTGTCCTCGAGGTCCACGGGCGGGTCGCCCTCCTTGACCTGGCCCAGGACGATTTTGGCGTCGCCCGTCGACGCGACCCACAGGTCGTCGCCCACGAGCATGGCGCCGACGCAGGTCGTGCCGCTCGACTGGCGGTCGAGGCCCAGCTCGTCGAAGTCGTTCAGGTTCTTGTCCGCGATGTCGTAGCAGGAGTCCCAGGCCTTGAGCACGTCCGCGTCCGGCGCCGCGCACGCCTTGCCCATCTCGTCGAGGACGCGCTTGACGACGTAGTCCGCGACGTAGTGGCCGTCCTTGCCGTGGCCGTCGGCGCAGAGGAAGAGGCAGGACGTCGCGCCCTCGGGGTCTCTCCCGTTCTTGAAGGGGTGCGCGACGAGGCACCGGTCCTGGTTGACCTTGTACTTGCCGTGGTTCTGGCCGTGCGTCGACACGGCGCCGCAGGAGAAGCGGTGCAGGGGCGTCTTGACGTCGTCGTCGATGGGCGGGTAGGCCAGGTCCTTCAAACCCAGCTGGCCGCGGAAGAAGTCGGGCGCGAGGAACCGGTGCGGGAACTCGTCGACGGCCTGGTGGATGCGCACGGCCTGCGTCGCCCGCACCTTCTTCTTGCCCGGGTTCGCCTTCTCCTCGCGCTCCGCCTCCTCGATGGCCGCCTGCTCCTCCGCGCGCCGCGTCTCGACGAACCGCTTGAGCTTGTCCTTGGCGATCATGAGCACCAAATCGTCGCTGATCTTGTCGTAGAGGTGCACCGTCACGTTCGCGTCGTCCCCCAAATCCTTCTTGAGCTTGCGCACGAGCCGCGAGCTCAAATTGACCTGGAACTCCGCGCCGGGCTTGCAGTAGACGTCGTTGATGCGCTTCGCCTCCGCGATCCGCGGCGCCTGGTCGTCGCCCTTCTTGAAGAGCTCCTTGTAGGCGTGGATGGCCCGGTAGCAGTCGAGGAGCTCCTCGGCGAACTCCGTCTTCAGGAACTTGAAGAGCTCGCCCTGCTCCTTCGTGTCCGTGAGGATCCTGCGCGAACGGCCGCGTGGGCGGCGGGGGGTTCCACGGGGGACGCGGCGACGCGCTTGTCGAGCACGCGCTTGAGGTCGTCGACGGAGTTGAAGGCGTCCTGGTAGTAGCTCGGCAGCACGACCTTGGGCTTCGCCTTCTCGCCGCCGCCGCCGCTGCGCGCGCGCGCGGGCGTCGGACGAGCGCGGCGCGGCGCCCCCCGCGATTGCGCGCGCGCGGCCGCGGGAGCATGCGCGAATGCGCCGCCTCTCCATGCCGCGCGCGCGCGGCCGGGCGCGCGCGTCGCGCGGCGCGGCCCGGACGCCGGCGGCCGCACCCGTCGGCGGTTTTGCTTCCTCCTCCGCCCATGGCGGGCGCGGAACCGCGGTCACGGTGCCGCGATCAGGCCGCCCCTCCGCTGCTTCGTTCGGCGCCGCTGAGTTCCGCGCAGCTTCGGACCGCGCGGTCGAGCACTTCTGTTATGGGGCTGGGCGCTCCAGGCGCGACAAGATGAGGTATCCAATGAAACTGGTTTTAATCTCCGATAACTCTGAAGGGTGATCTTGACCTCAAGGAGGGCTCGCCTCTGGCTGCCCAATTTTGGCCACGATGCCCGAGAGGAAAGGGCTGAAAAATTATCATGGGGCGAGTAACAAGATCCTCTCCGACCTCGTCAACCGCCACGCCGCCGCCCGGGGCAGCCGGGACCACCTCCACGAGACCCTCGATTTCATCCGCGACGAGACCAAGGCCGTCCGGCGCGGCGTCGAGCACGACGTCGAAGTGGTGACTGAAGAAATCGCGGGCGGCGGACGCGTGGCGCAGGCGCCCGAGTGGGACTGGCTCTGCCGCGGCGACGAATTCGACGAGACCGCGGACCGGGGGGAGCACGCGCCCCGGGGCAAGTCCATGAAGGCGTTTCTCCTCGACGCGGTCCCGCACAACACCGCCGTCGCGTGCGGCGCCGCCGACTCGACGGACAGCGACAGCGACAAGAACACGCCCCAGAAAAACCGGAAAGCTGGAGCCGTGGAGCGCCGCCGACTCGCGGGGGACGGCGACGACTCGTCGACGTCGTCGAGCGACGACGGCTCCGAGGCGCCGCCCGCGGCGCTCGACGACGCGGACCTGCTCTCGCCGCCGCCCGAGGACATCCCGACGCCGAAGCCCGCGACCAAGACCGTCGACGAGCGCGAGGCCGAGGCGGCGGGCAAGAAGAAGCGCGACTACGGCAAGGGCCTCGAGGACCGGAAGCTCGCGCGGCCGCGGACAGGGCAGCAAAAGGGTGATTCAACGTCGCTTCAACGTGAGTGTTCCGCGCGCGCGCGTTTCAGAAACAGCACCCACGCTTCGAGAGCGCTCCGAAGGATGATCGCTCGTCCAAAAATCAGCCGAAACGAGCGGAAAACGACCGAGATAGGAGCCTTTGAAGTTGGGAATTTCGCACCCTTTTGCTGCCCAGGCCGCGGAAGTCGACGACGTGGCGCGCGTGGTTCCTCAAGTCGAAGAAGGAGACGTCCGAGGGCAAGACCGAGTGGGAGGTGAACACGGGCCACCGCTTCCAGGACCGGCGGCAGCAGCGGCGCTTCAGTACGGACTTTGGGCGCAAGCGGGGGCCGCGGCTCAGCGTCATCGAGGCGCTCAAGGGCAAGCGCAAGACCGCGGAGCCGCCGCTGACGCCCGCGCTCGAGAAGACGCGGTCCGAGGCCGCTTTAAACGTCACGGAATCGGGCGAGTCGGCGGCGCTCCACAGCTTCAGCCTCCGCCAGCTCAGCGACATGGAGCGCGTCATCGAGCTCACGCAGCTCTTCCAGTGGATGGACGTCGACGGCGTCGGCGTCGTCGAGGCCGACGACATCCTGCGCGGCGCGAAGAAGCTCGCGGAGACCGCCGGCGACGACCACCGCGGCGGCTCCTTCTCCATGTCCCTCGACGAGATCCACCGCATGCTCGACCACGTGCCCCGGAAGGACACGACGGGCACGACGGAGCAGCTCAAGCTCGACGACTTCGTGAGCTTCGGCGCGCAGCACGGCGCGCCGGCCAAGGCGCTCAACGCGCACCGCAAGATCTCCCTCATGCTCAACGCCTGGCTCGTGCGCAAGCGGTTGAAGCGCTACAACTACGAGAACTACGACGAGCTCGCGGCCGTCTTCTACGAGACGTGCAAGAAGGCGCCCCAGCCCGGCCGCATGTCGGCCGTGCTCCTCCACGAGGCCCTCCAGGTCATCTTCCACGAGGAGGCCTACTCCATCGCCGACTGCTGCCGCATCATCGACGGCGCTAGGACGCCCGACGGCTGCGTCGACATCGACCAGTTTTTGGGCGTCGCGGAGCAGCGCATGCCGACGACGCTGGCGACGCTGTTGCGGCGCGCCCACCCCTGCGGCGGGCGGGCCTACGGGCGCAAGGACGCGGCGGACAAGGCGACGCTCTACCGCCTCTTCTGGGAGTACGACGTCGAGGACAGCGGCGAGATCGACGGCCGCCAGTTCTCCCTCGCGCTCGAGGAGCTCGCCCTCATCGAGAAGAGCGTGCAGTCGGAGCGCATGAAGCAGATCTTCGACGTCTCGGGCTGCAACTCGCCCATCCTCTTCTACGACCTCTACCTCTTCCAGGAGATCGTCACGAAGCTCCGCAGCATCCGCACGCGCGGCAAGGCCCTCGCGCTCTACAACTTCGTCTGCCGCCGCTACCGCGCGCGGAAGAAGCCCGTCCCGCTCCAGACCGCGCCCCCGCCGGCCCTCGGCGACCTCCTGGTCATGATCAGCCTCAACACGCGCCGCCACGAACTCTACGACCGCCGCCACGACGAGCCCCTGTGAGCGTTACGACGGGGAGGCCCCTGTGGCCGTTACAGGTAGGCCGCGACGGCGAGGGGCAGCCCCTGTGGCCGTTACAGGTAGGCCGCGACGGCGAGGGACACGCGCGGCTCGCAGAGCGGGTGGCAGAGCACCGCGACGGCCAGGGCGATCTGCTGCATGTCGAGCGCCGTCGCGAGCGCGCGCGCCCGGCCGCGGATCTCGCTCAAAGCGACGGCGTCGTTGCGCAGGTCCGCGCCCATCTCGCGCGCCTCGGCGAACGACGCGGCGACGCGGCTGCCCAGCACGCGCACGTCGAGGCACGGGTGGTAGATGTTCGCCGTCCGGTCTCCGCGAAGCTTGGAGATGGAGTGGAGGATCTTGCCGCCGCAGCGCCGGGGCGCCTCCGACGGCAGATCCGCCCGACACAGCGGGCACTTGCGCCGGCTCGCCGTCGCCCGGAGCAGCGCGGCCCTTAGGCACCGCGAGCAGAAGACGTGGAGGCAGGGCGTGTAGACGGGGTCCGAGAGCAACGATAAACATATCGCGCACTCGAGGTCGTCGGCCCGCGGGCTCGCGGCCGCCGGCTCCGGCGCTTCGGCCTCCCCGGCGGCGGCGGGGCTCCCGGGCCGCGCGCGCAGCGCGAGGATGTTGCCCAGGCCCCGGTCCGCGAGCCAGCGCGCGATCTCCGGCGAGGGGGCGGGCCGGTCGTCGGCCGGGAGCACCTGGAGCTTCACGCCGCTCCGCCGCATGATCTGCGCCGTGCGCGACCGCGGCGTCTTGCAGCGCGGGCTCGACGGGCGCTCCGGCGCCGCGCCGGCGAGGAGCCGCGCCGCGCGGCCGTGGACCTGGCTCCCCCGAAGTTCGGGCGCGCGCTCGAGCACGTCCCGGCCCCGCAGCGTCAGCGCGCCCGCGGCGGCGCGCCGCCGCATCCAGGCGACGTAGGCGAGGAGCGCCCGCTTCCGCGCGAGCGCCGACGACTTGACGCCGACGTCGCCGAAGCGGAGGAACACGGCGAGGTCCGTCGCGTGCGACCGCCCGACGACGCAGTGCCGCGCGACGTCGGCGCGGTTCCCGGGCCAGCCGCGGACGAGCGCGCGGCACGCCGCGAGCTTCGCGCCGTGCTTCTCGAAGGTCGGCCCGCGCGCCGTCGGCGGCGTCCACTCGCCGCCCGCGCGGAGGTACGCGGCGAGCATGAAGACCGCGCCGCGCTCGAAGGCCAGGTGTGCGAGCGTCCGCCCGTCCTCGAAGGGCCGCGACGCGTCCGCGCGCGGCAGGTCGCTCAGCACGTTGAAGAGCGCGGCCGAACACCGGAACTCGTCCGCGGCGCTCGACGCGCCGACGAGCGCGCGCGCCTCGTTGCGCTGCCGCTCGGCTCGCAGCGTGGCCGAGAGCTCCCGCGCCCAGGCCTGCCGCGGGGCGCCGGCGTCGGCCGTGAGCCGCCGCCGCGCGACGCGGCCGCGCGGATCGTCGAAGTGCGACGGCTGCTTCTTGCGCCGTCCCAGCGGGGCGAGGCGCGTCGTCGACGCCCGCGCCCGAGGCATCTTTCGGCCGTCGTCGTCGGGGCAGCTCTCTGCGATGCTCTCAGCACTCTGGAGACCACCTCCCCAGCCCTCGAGGCATCATCCTTCGGCCATCGCGTCGGGGCAGCTCCGTGGCTTAAGGGAGAAGGTCAGCCTTGAAGCCTCGATGCCCTAAAAAACCTTAGCGCGGCGTCGTCGGCCCGCCGGACGGCGACACGGCGCGGCAGGCCGCGCCGTCGGGGAAGCGGGCGCGGTCGCTGCGCGTCGCGCGGATCAGGAGGAAGGCGTGGTCCTCGACGCCGCGGAGGAGCGCGGGCTCGACGCGGGACGTCTCGACGCGCGTCCACTTGCCGTCGCCCCGGAGGCCCGCGAAGAGCTCGACGAGGCCGTGCCTCCCGTCCGGGCAGCACAGCAGCAGCGCGCCGCGCGTGCGGAGCAGCGCCGCCGCGGCGTCGAGGACGCTCCGCGTCGCGCCGCTCGAGTAGACGAGGTCCGCCCCGAGGACGACGTCGAAGTCGCCCGCCCGCGCCCGGAGCGCCGCGGGCGGCTCCGTCCAGTCGAGGGCCAGGACCGTCGCGCGGCCCCGCGTGTTCGCCTCGAGGCAGCCGAGGAGGCGCGCCTCGCGGTCCGACGCGGTCACGGTCTTCGCGCCGAGGTCGACGCACGCGCGCGCCACGAGGCCCACGCCCGCGCCGAGCTCGCAGACGTCGCGGTCGCGCACGACGTCGGCGTCGCGCGCCGCGAGCCAGCGCGCGAGGGCGACGGCGGAGTCCCAGACGCGGCAGCCGCTGCAGAAGTAGTTCGACGCGCACTGGCGGAGCTCGACGTCTTCGGCGCCGCCGACGTCGACGCGCACCGTCTCCCACGCGACGGCCGCGCCCTCGGGCTCCCAGCTCCCGCAGCAGACGACGCTCTCGAGCTTGCGCTTGCGCCTCGGCGGCGGGACCGCCTCCGCGCAGCGCTCGAGCGCCGCGACGACGGCGGGCCCGCGGCCGCGGCGCAGCGCCTCGAGGACCTCCCGGCCGCCGGGAAGGCGCAGGAGCTCGTCGGACGCCGTGGCGGGGTTGCGTGCCGCGTCGAGGAGCAGCGCCAGATCTGACGGTGGGTTTAATTTTGCGAGCTGTTCGAGCTGGCGCAGGCTGTGGGCGAAGTCGTCGGACTGGCAGTCGGCGACGCCGTGCGCGGGCGAGGCCGAGGCCTCCAGGGCGAAGTCGTCGGACTGGCAGTCGGCGACGCCGTGCGCGGGCGAGGCCGAGGCCTCCATCGCACCAGCAAAGCTCAACGAGTGTGCATCTTTGACCAGCGGCGCGACGATGATGGGCCGCCGGTTTGCTTGCAAGCGGGCAGCCGAGAACCGTTCGCGTGACCTCGTCCGCACCGGCGGCCGTCGCGAGTAGCCGTCATGCGCTGGCTCGCTCTGGCGTGCGCGTGCCGCGCCGCGTCGGACGAGGTCGTGATCTCCTACGAGGGCAGCATCGACGCGAACCTCGGCGGCCTGGGCAACCGCCTGCTGGGCCTCATCTCGGCGAAGATGTTCGCGGACCTCGCGCGCGCGAGATTCGCCGTCGTCGACGAGCGCTTCACGGGCCTCGCGCGCTTCAGCGAACTGTTCGAGTACCCGCCGGCGCTGCGGTGGAACGCGTCGCACGACGATTACGACCCGACGTGCAAACTGATGTTCGAGAACCACAAGTGCGGCCAGACTTTAGCGCATCTGAATAGTCGGCGGAGCGGCCACGAGAAGCTCATGGCGAAGCTCCACCCCGAGTCGTCGACGCTGCGGCTGCGGTTCCCGCAGTGCGACGTTTTTAGGGTCGTCTCGAATATGTACTTCGGGGCGCTCTACCGGCCAAACGCGACGCGGCCGTCCTTCGGCGACGTCGTCGCGTCCATCGCGCGGCCCTCCGCGGCCATCGCGGCGCGCGTGCGCAACGCGACGAAGGGCTGGGAGCCGGCGAACCACGCCGTCGCCGTGCACCTCCGGTCCTTCTTCAAGCCCGACCTCGGCGCCGTCGCCGGCTGCCTCTGCGACGTCGCCGCCAGGACGTCCTACGCGGCGACGCGGCAGCAGCGCGACCCGCCGCCGGCCGTGAAGCAGGCCTGGCTCATTTCGGACAGCGCGCGGCTGCAGATCGAGCTCCGGGATATGCTGGCGGCGCGCTGCGGCCTCGACGCGAGGCTCTCGGCGAACGCCTACGACCTCGCGGCCGGCGAGGACTCGCGCGCGCACCGGCGGGGGCCGGACATCGTCGACGCGGCCTTCGACCACGCGCTCGCGCGGACGGCGCGCGTCTTCCTGGGCACGCCGGGTTCGAGCTTCTCGGACACGGCCGTGGGCCTCCACCCCGACGCGTCCCGGCTGCGCCTCCCCGACTGCGCGCCCATCCCCGCGCGCGACCACGCGCCGCCGAACCACAAGTGGTGCCGCCAGGTCGGCTGACATGTACTTCATGTTCACTTCAAGTACAGGCTTAAGTACCGCAAATCGGGCGATTCAGCTATGGCCGAAGGCCGCAGCGCGCGCACGCGCGCGCTCAACGAGGAGCTGCACCAGTACGCGCGGCGCAAGGATTATGCGAACGTCATGGCGACGCTCGCGCGCGGCGAGCGGGACAAGACCGTCGACGGCCGCACCTTCGCCATCGCCATCAGCGCCTGCGCCGACGCCGGCGACGCCGCGGGCGCCGTGCGGCTCCTGCGCGCGGCGGCCGACCGCGGCGGCAAGTGCGCGCCGGAGGTCGCCGCGTGCACGGCCTGCGTCAAGGCGCTCTGCGGCGACGACCTGCCCGGCGCGAGGGAGCTCCTGCGGGCCATGGCGCGCGCGCCCGCGGCGACGCCGCGCTTCGGCGCGCTCGCGGAGGCCGCGCGGCCCAACGCGCGGACGGCGAACACGTTCCTGCGCGGCTGCCTGCGCCACGGCGACGGGCGCGCCGCGGACTGGTGCGTCGAGGCCATGGAAGCCTGGGGCCTCGAGGCCGACGCGAACGGTCGATCCTACGTCTGCGCGACGCACGCGGCGGCCCTGCGGCCCGCGGAGGCCCGGGCGGCGCTCCGGGGGTTCGACGAGGCGGAGCCGCTGGTCAGGGTCGCGCGCGCGCACGCGCTCCTCGGCGACGCGGCCGCGGCGGTCGCCGTCGCCGACGAGGCGCTCGCGCTGCCGACGAGCGAGGCCGCCGCGGGCCGCGCGGGCCTGCGGGACGACGCGCGGCGCGCGGCGTCCAACGACGCCTTCCGCGCGCACCGCGCGGCCGAGGCGCGGCGCGACGCGGAGCTCGTCCGCGAGGCCGCGAAGCGCGCGTCCGCTTCCGCCACGCTCGCGGCGCTGGCCAAGGTCGTCGTCTGCGACCACCTCGAGGACCCCGCGGCGACGGTCGACGCGCTGAAGCGCGCCTTCGGCCTCGAGGAGGTCGCGTACCGCGCCGCGCGGGAGGCGCTCGGCGCGGGCGCGTCGCGCGCGGACCGGAAGCGCGTCGGGAAGCGCGTCCGCGACGCGCTGGCCGC